GCCGCGGTGGCCGCGCGCGCCGCCGCCTGGCGTGGCCCCGGCCCGCGGGAGGAGGCCGAGGTGTCCGCCTGGCTGCGGCGGCACGGCGCCGGCGCCGCGCTGGGTCTCTCGCCGGGCCAGGCGGCGGCGGTGCGCGCGGCGGCCTCCGCGCCGCTGGCCGTGCTCACCGGCGGCCCCGGCTGCGGCAAGACGCACGCCCTGGCCGCCGTGGTCCGGCTCTGGCGCGCGCAGGGCAAGCGTGTGCGCGTGTGCGCGCCCACGGGCCGCGCAGCGCAGCGCATGGGCAGCGTGGCCGGCGTGGCGCCCTGCACAGTGCATCGCCTGCTGCGCTACGTGCCGCGCAGGCAGCGCAGCGCAGCGCGCGAGGCGGGCGCGCCGGCCGGCGACCCCGGGGCCGGGCGCGACCCCGCCGACGACCTGGGCGAGCGCGGCAGGTTCGAGCACTGCGCGGCTAAGCCGCTGGCGGCCGACGCCGTGCTGGTGGACGAGGCCTCCATGCTCAGTCTGCCCCTGGCCGCGGCGCTGATGCAGGCGCTGCCGCCCACCTGCCAGCTGGTGCTGGTGGGCGACGTCGACCAGCTGCCCAGCATAGGTGATGGTGTGGGGTGTGGGTAGGGTGGGAGGGGATGAGTGTGGGGAGAAAGAGGTTGTCAGTGGCGTCTACCTCTGGGCTGGCACCCCCCTGCCATTCCACGGGGCCATGGCCTCGGTCCACGGCAGCGCTTGGCCCTGCGAATTCTCACCCTCAGCCAGACCTTGTTCACTTTTGAACATCAGAACCCCCATCCCCCATCAGCTTCCTGTTGACCTAACCCCCCACCACACCCACACCTCCCCGAACCACTCCTGCAGGTCCCGGCACGGTGCTCAACTGCATCCTCACCTCGGGCCTGGTCCCCGTGACCGACCTGCGCCAGGTCTTCCGCCAGGCCGCCACCTCGGCCATCGTGGGCGCGGCGCTGGCGGTCCAGGCCGGCGTGGCGCCGCGCCTGCCGGCGCTGGCGCGGCCGGGGGACGTGATCGCCGCCGCTGGTGGCTCCGCTGCCCTGCTCCTGCCCGTGCCGCGGGCGGGGGACCTGGTGGCGGCTGCGCGCGACGTCGTGGCGGCGCTGACGCGGCGCGGCGCCGACCGCTCCGAGCCGGCCTGGGCGTCGGGCGACGTGCAGGTCATCAGTCCCATGCGTGCGGGGCCGGTCGGCACGGGGGCGCTCAACCCCGTGCTGCAGGGCCTGCTGAATCCGGGGGGTCCCGATGCTGTCGGCGGCGGGAGCGGGGCAGCACAGAGCCACGGCCTGCGCCCGGGGGACCGGGTCATGCAACTGGTCAACGACTATGACCGGGAGGTCTTCAACGGCGACCAGGGCACGGTGAGGGGGGTTTGGTTGTTGTGCGTGGGGGGGAGGGGGGGAGATGCAAGGTGCTTCGTGACAAAGCGTGCCTGTCCCAGGGCCCTTGCTGCCGACCCATGCGCTGGCGCGCGGCACCACGGCCCCTTGCGCCAACTCACGCATGCCATGTCCTCCACGAAGGTGGTGTCCTGGGACCCCGCCGGCAAGGTGGTCAAGGTGCAGTTTCCTCACCTGGTGGAGGCGGCGGCCGCCGAGAGGGCGGAAGCACCGGCGTCGTTCGCCGCTCGAGCGGGTGCCAACCCCGCCCCCGACGGCGTCTGCTCGTACCAGGTCAGGATTTGTTTCGGGATGGTAACGTTGGGTGGCTTTTCCTTTGCTTGAGCAGGCCATGGGCTGCATATGCATTTGTAGGCCGTCATGGATGAGGGATTTGGGCCCAGCACTGGAAATAGAGGCGTGGCTGTAGCTGGACCCGGTCGGCACTGGTGCACTGGGCCCCCTTCCCCCTTCCCCCACACAATCACACCCCCCCGCCCTTTCCACCCCGCGCAGGGCTCCGAGGCGGGCGCGCTGGGCCTGGCCTACGCCATCACGGTGCACAAAGCTCAGGGTGGGGAGGCGCCCTGCGTGGTGCTGGTGCTGGCGCCAGGTCACGGCCGCATGCTGGACCGCCGGCTGGTGTACACGGGTGCGAGTTGGGGGGTGGGGGGGGTGGGGGGTGGGTGCGGGTCGATGGTGGAGGGTTGCTGGGCGTCGGTAGAGCGAGCGTAGTGTGTGTGGGGCTGTCCTGGGATTCGCTGATCAGCGCTGTATGCCTGGCCGCATCCTCCAGGTCGACACTCTTCCTGGGCGGGACCCTCCCCCGCACATCCCTCCCGCCTCAAACACAGCCCTGACGCGCGCCAAGAAGCTGCTGGTGGTGGTCCAGGCGAGCAGGCCGGGGGAGCCCTCGCCGCTGGAGCTGGCGGTGCAGCGGCGCGAGGTTGGCACGCGCCACTCAGGCCTGGGCGACAGGCTGGCGGCGCTGGGGGGCGATGCCAGGCGGCACACTCCCGACGTGCACCATGGCGGGCGGAGTCTTGAAATTGAAGCTCTCGCTGAGGGAAAGGCGGGCGATGGTAGAGGACATGGGCCAGAATCCCCCAGCCGGGATTGCCAGCCCCTGGGCCTGGATCCCGTGCAAGAACGGCCCGGCACTGAGGAGCGGCCGCCCTTCTGAGCCGGTGCTCGGCAGGTGTGCCGAGCGCGAGGGCGGGAGAGTCGCTGCGCAGATCTCTTTGACGAGAGGAATCTGTGGCAAGCCGCAGGGGTTCCTCTGAGAAAGGTGAGGTGCGGGGTGTGATGCGAGGGAGGAGGTGGGTCTGCGTTCACCTGGCCACGCCCTGCGGACCCCTCGGTTTGTCAATCTTCATGGCTGGGGGGTTCACAGGCTCCCAGCCCGCCCGGCACGCAGGCGCCGGCTGCTGTGGATCGGCGCCTACTGGCACTGGAACAGGCCGGCCAAAGGCGTGGACCCACCTCCACCCCGCACAAGGCGATCGCATGTGCTGATCCCCCGCCGCACCACACTCCCAGGCCCGCTCGGCCTTGGGACGGCCACACAAAGATTTGTACACCTGCTGCATGACCAGGGCGACAGCGGCGCGCTGCCAGCAGGGATGTGGGCCCGGCACCCACTCAGCCACCTCTACATGGCGCAGCGGAGCGCCTCCAGCAGCGTTGGCGCCAAGGCCCCGGGCAGCGCCTCAACGTCGGCCTTGCGCCCCGCGGCCAGCATGGCGTCCAGCTCGGCGGCCCAGTGAGGAGCGGGACCCCTCAGCCGCTCCCTCAACCCCTGGGCCACCCGAAGGTCGCGCTGCGTCAGCGCCTGGGGCAAGTGGGACGGGGTGACAAGCTTGTGAGCCACTGGTCTCTGAAGCCGGCCACAGTCCTGCCAGAATGTGGCACAATGTCCCTCACTACACCCCTGGCGGCACCCTGGGGGAGTCAGTCAAGCCAGCCCGCTTCCCCCCCGGCCCACCTGCATGTGCTGCCCATCTGTCTGCAACCAGCTGGCGTGTACACCGGCCCAGCGCAGCCCGGGGAGCGTGAAGCGGGGGGATTCGAGCGCCATGGCGGCAGATCCAAAGCGGTACCTGACAACAAGAGGACGACGGGTTGGGGAATCAATCACAGGACTCGGCAGTCTGCACCACAATGCAGGACAGCTTGGTCACACAAGACAGCCCCTCCAATGCCTCTGCTGGTTGGAAAGAGGGGCACACCACAATCTCACAGGCTCAGGATGGCCAACCCATCCGGGTTCCAGTCCACCAGTCCGAAAAGCGGCAGGCGGGGAAACGACTTGCTCACGTGCGACAAGAAGGCTCTGTCGGAGGGGCAAGGTGAGGGCCAGTGGCCCGCTGCAGCTGATCACAGAGCCTCAGAGCCTGGCAGACATGCATGGCCACATGCAGGGTGGAGGCTCAGGCACAGAGCTCCCGTGCAGGAATGCTGGAGGCACCAGGCATCTCGTGACAGACTGGGATCGGGTGGAGGACTCTGTGCATCCCCGCATACACCATGGTCATCCTCAGATCCCCACAGCCCCCGAGCACCTGGTGGCAAGGTCCGGCATCCCTCTCGCAGTGACCAGGATGCATGGACACTCTTCCCACAGCTGAGCTCGGGTGAGGGCCTGCACGGGGATGGAGGGGAGGAACTCGACAGTCCTAAGCGACGTTCAAGGACAGGGGAGGTATAGCGCGCCACCAATACATAAGATATCAGACTGCTGCAGGAGGGTGGCTCGAAGCGGCATGGCAGGGGTCCAAAAGTTCATACCAGCAATCCTGGGCCTGACCTGAAACACGGTTTCCTTCTCAATCACGAGGACAAAAGCGGCACCTGCGGACTGCAGCACAAAGCGCTGCAGCCCTTCGACATCTCCCGGCAGTGCAAATGCCTCTTGGGTGCAGTCCACCTCCCGACCTGAGACCAGGGAGAGGCGGTGGGTCGGATTGTTTAGCATGGCGGGCCCAGACTCATTTCTGAGTCAGCTTGCATAGTTGCCTTGTACTCCGGGCCCCCCAGCGTTGACCACCGACACCTCATACCCCTGGTGTGCAGAGTGATGCTCCCGGACACCAGGCCCTTGCCGCTGGACAGCACGCCCAGGGCGTTGCGGGGCACATTCAGCAGACTGACGCAGTCCAGCAAGCTACAGGACACATCTCGCTGGCAGCGAACCAGTTCCTGTGCTTTGAGCCTGTAGTACACTTCCCGCTGATTGACGGGTACCCCTGCAGCAAGGGGTGTGGATGGCTGAGGGACAGCTTCGGCAGTACATGTGCAATGCAGATTACCATGTCGAGCAAAACCAGCGACACAGGATCACAGCCCTTGGATCCGCCCAGGGCACAACCATCTCACCCTGGACAAGCGCCGCTTTGCATTCCCGCAGCACAGCGAAAATGCGAGCAAAGTGCTCTGCACTCTCCGGGTGGCTCCCAATCAGCGAGCGCCGAGTCAAGGTCTTGGAGGATGTGTGCTGCATGCATGAAGTATCTCGGTCATGACGGTGCACATGGCCAGTTAACAATGTGCCAAGTCTCGGGCGATGCGATTCATGAGCAAATTCTCCCACCGCTTCCTGCACACCACATTTATGTCAGGGAGCTCGTGGGAGGCAATCTTCTCCAAAATCCATCGGAGGAGACCATTCACCCTCTGCACCACCTCCGCGGCATCGACATGAAGATCCAGCGTGCAGCCATGGACGTTCATCTCGGCCACAGTATCCATTAGGTGCTTTCGTGTAATCAGATTTACAATTCAATGCGATTTCCCCCCTTCACTTCTGAGCTCGAGGCGAAGCTCACGGATGCAAAGAATTAGTACTTACCACGTGATAATTTACGTTGTTATTACGTTAGGAGTACGTTGGAATTAGAGGGCGACGTGGCTCCCTTCAAAATGTTTCCATTGGGGTCTTTCAACACATTTTATATCACACCATTTTCACAAACATTCCCTGGAGCATAGCAAGATCTAGATCCCCACTGTCAAACATGTCACTCGCGCTCGTTCCCCAGCACGGTTACGTGCTCGGCACGTTGGTCGGCGGTGTCCTCGTGCAGGTGCTCTGACTTGTGCCCAAAGTGTGGACAAAACCCATACATCAATCGAGAACTGTGGCTTTTCAATTGCTTCATCAAGGCCAGCTTTGCTGATTGACGCTGCTCATTTCCAACTTACGCACGCAGAATGTGTGGATGGCGATCCAGGTGGGCATGGCACGCCGCAAGTACAAGGTGTGCTACCCCACCATGTATGCCAAGGAGGACACTCCCGACGCCAAGACCTTCAACTGTGTCCAGGTGTGCGCTGGGTTAGGCAATTCGAGGCTCCGGGTTGGCCTTTGTTCAAGAGAAGGCTCCTGGTTCTTGCCCCTGCATAGTAGACCTCCTGGCGCCCTCACCTCGCCAATGCTCCACTCACTCATCTCGCAGAGGGCACACCAGAACACGCTGGAGATGATCTCCACCTTCAACACCCTGCTCATCGTGGCTGGCGCCAGGGTGAGTGGTGGCAGCAACCTGATCTCAAGGTCGATGGGAAACGTCCTCTGTCGTTCAGCAGTGCATGCTGTTGCTCCTTGGCCCGCTGTCCACCTGTAGATCTCATCTCCCACATCTGCAGTACCCCATTGCCGCCTCCGTGGCGGGCCTGGTGTACATCGTGGGCCGCATCGTCTTCTTCAAGGGCTACAGCACGGGCAAGGCCGACAACCGCCGCCGCGGAGGTGAGGCCTGCAGGGGCGCGTGACCTGGGTGGGGAGAACAGTGTCTTGGATACCTCGACTGAAGCCGGCCTCTGCGGCATGTCTCCCACACCCAAGCTAGCGGCGGCCTGTGGCGCCGGTGTGCATACCGCTCTCTGCCCCTGTATCCCGACCTGTGTGCATCAAGCCCACGGGACTCACAACTCCCCCGGAGCTCCACCCGCCGCAGCCTTCAACGCCTTTGGCCTGCTGGCGCTCATTGGCATGGTGGGCAGGTGGGGCATCGAGCTGGCCACCAGCCGCTGAGCTCGCCGATGGAGCAATCTGGCGCACATCGTGCGGCCACGACTCCTTTTGAAGCTGAATGAGGCGCTGCCGAGCCACTCCAGCTGTACGAACGACTCCCCGCACCCCGCCGGCGACTATTTGTCTTGGTGCCACGAATGCAACTCCCCGCTCCCCTGCTGGACCCGAGTTTTCCCCGTTGCAAGCTCTGTACTGCCAGCCCTTGAGTACTGGATGGGACAGCCGGGCCAGCAGGAGGCATGCTAGGCCGGTGCACTTACTTTGGAAGGGAGTGGGTATGCACATCATCGGGCGGCCGCCCTGGCTAGGGCGTCGCCCCCTTGGCCCGGACCAGCAGGACGACGCCAGCCACGATGGCAGCGTCGGCCGCGGCCATCGCCCGGCGCGGGCCCCGCCCCGGCAGCTCCCCGAACGCTACCACGCCCCACACCGCCGCCACCGCGATGCCCAGGCCCTGCATGATGGGGTAGGCCAGGGCCAGTCCCACGCGCGGGTCGGCGGCCGCGGCAGCCGCGGCGGCGTTGCCCACGCCCCACACCGTCCCCGCCACCACCCCCGGCCAGATGGCCGCGGGGCTCTGCGCCTTGACAAACATGTCGGCGGGGCGGGTGCGGGCCAGGGTGACCAGGGGGGCGGCCAGCAGCACGCCCATGCCCATGCTGGGCATGTAGGCCAGGCCCTGGCAGGCGCGGGGCAGGTGCGACATGGGCGCCAGCACCAGCCCGCCAACCAGCCCCGCGGCCACGGCGGCCAGCGCGCCGGCGGCGCGGGGGAGCGGCGCTGCGGGCTCTGCGGCCCCCCCCAGGCTGGCCTCCGACTTGGTGGAATCGGCCGCGTCATCGCTGGCGGCGGCGCCGGGGGAGAGGAGGGGCTCGTGAGCCAGCGGCCCGGCGCCGGGGGAGAGGAGGGGCTCGTGAGCCAGCGGCCCGGCGCCCGCCTCCTCGTCGCCGTGGCACCTGCTGCCGACGGGCAGCACCGGCACGGAGGCCTGCGCCGCGCACACCCCGACCATGCCCGCCAGGAGCAGCAGCACCGCGGCCACGGCCAGGGCCGGGCTGCGCAGGCGGTCGCCGGCGCCCAGCAGGGCCCAGGCCAGGGAGGCGAGGACGGCGGTGGCGCTCCACACCGCGCAGGCGGCGGCCAGGCCCAGGGATCGGATGGCGGGAAAAGTGGCCACGTTGGAGGCCATGAACATGGCGCCGGACAGCAGGCCCCAGGGGGTGAAGGTCCGGTGCACGGGCAAGGCCAGGACCAGGAGGCCCGCGAGGCCCGCGCCCTCCGCCATCCAGTGCCCGTGGACGTGGGGCGGGATCTGCGGTCGATGTGGCGCGGATGTTGGGTGTGATGGCGTGCATGCACTGAGTGAGAACCCCTCGACACGGGAGACACGCGCGCCCCAGGCCGGCCCACGAAGCGCACCTCCGCGTCTTGAACCACCCGCAGCTTGGACATCGACCCGAAGCTGCCATTACAAATTCCAGATAGTATGGCCAACGATACTCCCAGCAGGGCTGCCATGGAGCTGGGCGAGCTCGCTGGCTACATCCGCTCGGGAGGAGGGGAGCGCAGCTTCCAGTCCCTCGAGCCGGCTTCAAGGTTCCCGAGCCAGCTACGTCTCACCCTTCCTATCCCAATTTCATTACATTGCAGATTTGCTTTCGCTGAGTTGCGATGTGGGGCGGATGTCTTTCCGCCCAGATCGGCGCATGCACAATATCTCGGTGCTGGGGGTGCTGCGCCTGAATGCTGCATGTATGAGATCCGGAGTGGCCTTTCGGACTATGCAAGGCACTGGAGTTGAGCGACCAGCAGCCTACGGGGAAGTAGCCTGAGATTGTACACAAAAGTTTCAGGTCTGAGCACCCAGATGAATGCCGCGCTGCGAGGCCTGCGCACAGATGTCGCCCTCGGTATCTGGAAGGTGCTGCGGAGAGGGATGGGAGGGGGGGTCCTGGCATGCACGACCATGCGCCAGCATGTCCAATACTCAAATAAGTACATCTACCGTTTACTCCCAGAGGGAGCTGCCCCGTGTCTATCCGGCAAGGATCCAGCATCATCGACATGGCATGCTCTTCCACGCCAGCCGGTGTTATGCTGGCAAGGGAACCGAGCCAAGCTGGGCCGAGATCGCTCAAGCAGGAGTGTCACTCGTCACAGACACGGCCTCCAAGGTGGGCAATACCCTCAAGAAGGCAGCCTCGAGTCTCCTGCCGGGATCGCATGACCGATCAGAGAGGCAGACCCCGGGGAGACCAGATCCTTCAGGTGACTTTGGCACCAAGGGACTGTGTGCCTGGCACGCTGCTTCGATGCCACAGAGCGGGCTTTGGTGGGGCATACTATTGTGTTATGGAAGCGAATTAGCAAGGGACCCTGATTGAAGAAGCTGTGGGCCACTCTGTTTGTGAGATCCTCTCTTTTGATCTGCGACGTGCTGCTTGGCCTCACTCACCCACCCACAACCCCACATAACCACACCATCCAACCCTCACCCTCACGCTCCAGACATGGGGAGGCAGCTATTTGGCGGCAGCATCATGGGCAGGATGCTGGGGGGGCTAGTCAGCTCCGCGCTCTCCTCGGTGGCAGAGCAGATGGCGCAGGCCTCGGAGGCTGCAGCCGCCACGCAGGAACGCAGCGCGCGCCTGGTGCAGTCCAGCGCCGAGCTGCGGCGCCTGTTGGGCGGCCCGGCCACCCTGCTGGGCCCCATCAGCCAGGCCTCCACCAGCACCAGCATCAACGGCGTGCGGCGCCAGAGGATCATCCTCACCATGCCCGTGGCGGATGCCGGGGGGCGCATCGTGGGCGAGGCGCTCGCCGAGCGCGAGCTGGGGGAGGGGCCTCGGGACCAGGCTGGGCCACTGGAGCTCACCGTGCGGCTGAGCTCGGGAAAGATCGTGCGCCTGGATGACAGCTCGGTGCCGCCGGCGACCATCGACGTGGAGTGGAAGCGGGTGGACTGACCCACCGTGGAGGTGGTGTGGGTTGTACGACACCTTGCTGCACGGCGCGGCTGCCATTCGTCAACAATCGCCGCCTGCGGTGCGTTCATGTACTTTGAGTCTATTTAATTTCGACATTGTGCCAATCGTTGGAGACTGGAAGGCCGGACGCTCGCGCTGCTGCACCGCAACATGAGGCCAGAAGGCTGGGCAGCCCCACCCCCCACTCATCCCCAGCAATCGGCGCGCCCTGAGGTGCGCGCGCGAGAGTCAAGAGGAGGGCACCCGATACGCCCGTGCATGGCACTCTTGACCAGCTCGAGCATACCAGACACGCTTGAAACGTTGCCAAAAGGGTGTTTCGCCATCCTACTCGCCACGACCCGCTCGCTCGCAGTTGCCCCCTGGCCCCTCTGCACCGCGCGGACACCGCCTCCCCAGCCTCTGGCCCCTCGCTGGGCGTCGACTAGGCGGCATGAGGACGAAGAAGTCCAGTAAAAAGGGGAAGAAGAAGTCTGCATCCGCCAAGGTGGATGGAGGCGGGGGCCCTTCATGCATGCCATGGTGTGCAGCGTGCCCTGCCAGCGTTCATCGCCCTGCTCCCCGCCCCACGCAGGCCTCGGCCGGGCCCGCCGTCCCCACAAAGCCCGAGGTATGCATGGGGGAGAGCATTTGATTCTCATACGAGTTCTGTGGCTGGGACTCTGGCCGGGGAATGGACCGGCTTCCCTCACCATCCTGTCCCCAACCCCTGCCCACCCACCCATGCTCACTCCAGGTATGGATGCCCGGCGTGCCCGGCGCCGAGCCTGACGAGGAGGGGCTGGACTACGACCCCACCGCCTACACCTGCCTGACCACGCTGAGCCTGGGCTGGCCCTGCCTCAGCTTCGACATGCTTCCCGACGCGCTGGGCGACCAGCGCACCGCCTTCCCCCACACGCTGTCCTTTGTGGCGGGGTGGGTGGGGCGCCCGGCCGCCCGCCTGAACAGCCTGTCAGTGTGCTGCGTGACCAACCTCACCGCCCTGCGCCACGGCAAGGTGCGCTGCGCTGGACCCCGAGGGCGGCCGGCCGGCCGCCTTGCTCATCCGTGGGCCGCCTGAACTCCCGCGCCTCCGGCGCTCCTTGCCTCCTGGTGCATCGACCGACCCACCCTCGTCCCCTCCGAGCGCATCCAACCCCCCTTTCCTTTTCACTCACGTCGCCCCTCCACCCCCACAATGAACCTCAATGCCTGTAGGACCCGTTGGACGACTCCGACTCGGACAGCTCCAGCTCCGAGGACGAGGACGCCGACGGCCGCCCCGCCCCCGGCCCGGGGTCATCCGCCTCCGCGCCCGTGCTGCACATCCGGCGCGTGGCGCACGCCGGCGCGGTCAACCGCGTGCGCGCCATGCCCCAGTCCCCCGCCCTGGTGGCGGCCTGGTCCGAGGCCGGGAGCGTGGGCGTGTGGGACCTGGGCGCGCCGCTGGAAGAGGCGCGCGCCGAGCCCTCGCCCGACGCGTCGCGGTCGGAGCGCCTGGCGCGGATCGCGCCGCGCAGCGTGCATGGCGCGGGCGCCGAGGGGTATGCGCTGGACTGGTCGCGCCTGGCGGCGGGGCGCCTGGCCGCGGGCGACCGCCGCGCTGCCATCCACGTCTGGGAGCCCGCGCCGGCGGGGAAGTGGGCGGTGGGCGCGGCGTACCGAGGGCACCAGGGACCGGTGGAGGACCTGCAGTGGTCGCCCACTGAGGACACCGTGTTTGCCAGCGCGGGGGCGGACCAGACGCTGCGTATCTGGGACACGCGGGAGAAGGTACTTTTGGAAGGGGGGGGCCCTTGAGAGTGGGGAAGGGGGGAATGGGAGGGGCCCTGGGGCAAGGTGGGTGTGGGCTGGTTCCTGGAGGGTGAGGCCGGTAGACTGCTATATGGCAGTCGCTGGGCCAGCGTTTGGCAGTTTGCACCTTGCGGCCCTCCTGCAGGAACCCCTCCACCCCCCCCTCCCACCCATTGCTCCACCCACAAACACTGCACACAGACGAAGCCGATGCTGACGGTGGCGGCGCACGAGGCGGAGGTCAACGTCGCCGCGTGGAGTGCCAGCACGGCCTACATGCTGGCCTCGGGCGGCGACGACGGCCTGCTGCGCGTCTGGGACCTGCGCGCCTTTGCCTCGGGGCAGTACGTCGCGTCCCTGAAGTACCACAGGTGAGGGGGAAGGGCGCGGGGACGTGCAGCAGAGGTGTTGAGAGCGGGGTTTGCAGGCGGTGCAGAGCAGCACTGTCAGCCTGCAGGGCCCCTCGTGGGAGGGGCCATGAGCACCAGTCCAGTCGTGCGGCGCTCTGTGCTGCCCAGTCCCATGCTGCAGCTCAGGCGGCATGCACCTCACGACCATCATTCTTCCAAGCAAGCCCTGGTCCACCTCTCCCCCCTCGCAACCTCACTCTCCGGCCCCCTGTACAGCGCGCCCATCACATCCCTGGAGTGGTCGCCGCACGAGTCCTCCATGCTGCTCTCCACCGGCGAGGACGGCCAGACCGCGGTGTGGGATCTGGCCCTGGAGCGGGACCCGGAGGAGGAGGCGGCGCTGGCACCGGAGACGAACGCCGCGGTGCCCGACGAGCTGCCACCGCAGCTGCTCTTCGTGCATGCCGGGCAGCGAGACGTGAAGGAGGGGCACTGGCACGCCCAGATCCCGGGCCTCATGGTCACCACGGCCGCCGACGGCTTCAACCTGTTCAAGCCCGCCAATGTGTGAGGCACTGGCGGGCGGCGCCGAATGCAGCCGGCACGTTCGCTGCTGCCCCACCACAATGCTGCGTGGAGCCGTCTGCTGTTACCCTCACATCTCCCTCATCCTGCCGACTGTACGGTCTGAGCCTCATCACACGCTCTGCTCTCATGCATCAGGAACCAGAATCCCGGAAACAGTGTCTCGTCGTCGAGGTGCCAAGCTGCTGGCACGGCGGCGCACTCAGGCGGGGGGCAGAGTGTCAAGAAGGCCCTTGATCCGCTGGACTCCGGCATGCAGGGCGGAGCTCGCCTGGTCGATGCTGATGTAGTCTGGGATGTCGCTGGGGTCCGAGGTCGGCGGGTCTGCTTGGGTGGGGTGGGGCAGCCTCTTGCGTTATATTCCCCGCAAACAAGAAAGGGCCACAATCAGTGTATTCCTGTTGGAGGTCCAAGCGTGCAGGCATGCATCACAACCAGGCCGCGCCATACCGATCGACAGCCGCCCACCTGAGGAGGGCTTGGCAGTGGAGAAAGCCATGAGGAGGTCCAGCAGGCTGCTCGCATTGCTGGCGAGCGCGTGCAGCGAGAGGGCCCTGCCCCCGGCCCGAGCACCGAAGAAGCGCTCCAGTGACTTCACCTCGGCCTCAAGTGCTCGCGGGATGATGTGCCTGGGCGGTGCGGACAGGGAGCATGGGGTGGCGATGGGATGGCCGCACAACATCCCGTGGAGGCTGGAGCTGCAGGGTAGCCCACATTGCCGGGTACTGAACGGTATCAACAAGCCCCCCCTCTTTCACTTCGCAGCTCTCGACGTGGGCCTACGCACCAGTAGGTCGACCTGTGGGAGGAAAGGATGCGCAGGGTGCTGCTGGCATCCCAGGGCGGCCGATCCTCCTCCTTCAGTGTCTCCAGCCACAGGTCGCCCACATCCTGAAGGGGTTTGGTGACAACGTTAGTCATTGCTGGAGAGGTGAGGGGAGAGGTGTGGCAGCACCTGCTCATCCGGCGTCAAGGCACGTTGAAACAAGTGTCTGATGCTGTGGCATTCGCCAAATCTAAGCTGGCACCAAACCCACTCCGCACCCCCCATGCCCAGCACCCCATCGTCCCACCAGCTGGCGATAGTGCTGGACGGCAGGCTGGAGGTTCTCAACCACCGCCGCCTCCATCTCGCAGACCATGTCGGCCAGGGACTCGGCACTGACTTCATGTGCCGGAGGGAGCATTGCGGGCGCCCTGCCGGGAATCTGCGCGGGTGCATCCTGCGGCCTCACACCTCCTGCGACCAAACCATGGTGGCCACTGGCTCCGTCGCGCCCCAGCCCCACTTATGAAGCCTGCGCAGGGGCTGCGGGGGTCGCCTCGCCACCGATGCGCTCCCGATGCATCGCCTGCAGCAGCATGTTGAGCTGCCTCAGCTGCGCCTGCTTCTGCGCCTCGACGGCGGCAGCCGGCGGCGGCTGGCCGGCGCGGCGAAGCCCCTCTGCGTGCGCCAGCGCCTGCGCCTGCTGCGACAACAGGGAGGCGTGGCCCCCTAACCCATGCTGCGCGGCGCTGGCCGCCGCGCCCGACGGCGACTCGTCGTCGTCCGCCCAGCTGAAGCCCGCGGACCCGCGCAGCGCCTCCCAGCCCAGGGAGATCGGGGCGGGGGGGCCGTGCTGCGTGGGCGCGGGCGCCCCGCCGAGGAAAAACGGGGCCGTCCCCGGCCCCGCTGCCGGAGGCGCCGGTCCCATGCTGTGGTGCCGGGGCCCTGGCTGCAGACGCTGCTGCTGCACGGCCTGCATGGTCAGCCGCAGACTCAGCTCCTGCTGCTCGCGCAGCGCCCGGGCGTGCGCCGACTCCAGCGCTCGGGAGGACAGCGTGGACTCGTGGCTCGCCAGCGACGGCGCACCTTGCCGCTGCGGGGGCGGGGCGGCATCGAACTGCATGCCCCGCTCCCTCTCCCCCTGCCGCTGCAGGCGCGCCAGCTTCTCCCTTTCCTGCTCGAGCGCCTCGGCAGCGGGGGCCGGCGGGCCATGCCCGTCGAGTACCTGTGGTGTCATCGTTGCACGGGGTCACGAGCAGCACAGGGAGTGAGTGGAGCCCAGGGGCTGTGCCTGTGGCGTCAGTGGGCCATCGTTGGCGGTCTGTTGGAGGGTCGACCTGATGGATTTTGACGGTGGCCCTCCGCGCCCCTCTCACGGTATGAGTGGCAGGCTGCCGCGAGGGATACTTGGAGGCCATTTTCCCCAGGGGTCCCCGGCACCACCTCGATTGCTGCCCCTCCCATACCTGGAGTAGAGCATGCCGACTCCGCGGGAAGCGTGTTGCGGTGAAGCAGAGGACGCCACTGACGCCTGCCCGCACCCCCAGGCCCACATCATTGCTCAGCAGCAAGACTCGAGCGTTCTCCTGGCAACTCTGGCAGGGCGCACAGAGGGGAGGGTTTGGGGTGGGAGGGAGGTCAGTGGGGAAGGAAGGGGATACCGAGAGCCCCTGCAAGACCAATGGACCCACAAATGTGGCACCCCAAAAGTCACAACCACCGGGATCGACGCCATGCCTGTGTGCACGAGCCCTGCATGCCTCTTCAGTCCCGAAGGCACGCACATTCAGGCCATAGCGCCGCCAGTGCCCCATCAGTCTCACCAACGACAGCTGGGATGCATAGTACAGGCAGCTCTGGATGATGGCGGTGTCGTTGCTGATGCTGTCCTTTGCGCCGGCCCCCGCCTCCCCCGCAGCCGCCATGGCCTGGGACAGTCAGGAGGTGGGGATACTGAAGGCGCTGGGATCGCCGATTGGCATGTGTGAGGGCATGCAGTGCTTTGTCGTGACTGCGAGCACCAGTTGTCTGCTCGTGTGCCTTCTGCGAGCATGCTGTGCTGCCACTTCCGCAGCACCTGCCACGCCTTGCCCCCCCGCCCTCTCTGGCCCCATCGACCAGCACCCTCCCAATTTCAGGCACGACATCCCCCTCTTACCCCTCCTCATCACTCACGGCGGCGTGCTCGGCCGCCGTCTGGCCCCGGATGCCGGCGTCCCGGGTCATGAGCAGCAGGCGCAGGCGCTGCAGCGCATGTGCCGCCGCCGCGGCCTTGCCCCCGTCGGGGCTGGACTTGAGCCGGTCCAGCTCGTTCAGCACGATCCAGGGCACCAGGGCCTGCACCTCCAGCGACCGCGACTCGCGGGCAGCCGAGGGCGGGTCGGCGGCGGCGGCCAGCGCTAGCAGCAGGCGCTCCAGGGTGGCGGGGTGCGAGATGAGCACGTTGGTGTCCACCACGATCAGCGCGCGGGCGGTGGCGCCGCCGCCAGCCGCGGGCGTGACGGGCAGGGCCTCCTCCAGCTCCATGGGCTCGGGGCCGGCGGCCGCGGCGGCCAGCTCCGGGAAGTCGGGCAGCAGGCGGCCGGCGGCCGGGGCGGCGCTCAGCACGCCCGCCGAGCGCTCCTTCTTCAGCTCAGCGGCCATGGACTCCCAGTCCATGGCCTCCTCCTCCGATGCGCCTGCCTCTGGGTTGCAAGGGTGCGATGGAGGAGGCGTGGTGAATGGAGTCGAGCATTCAGGGTGCGGAGCGGGTTCCAGGACATAATTACACACGATCGCAAAGCACACAGGTGCTGGCGACAAGATGAGGTATGAACCCAGGACCCCATCGCTCCACACTCGGCAGCACCTGCAGCCTGGCCCGCAACCATGCTGAGGGTCCACAGCGGGATCCAGCAGCGCAGGCCCGAGTGCTGCACGGGCATGGTCTCGCTGGGGAACGCCTTCTTCCCGGCCCAGATCACCATCTTGGACAGCGGGTAGGGACCGTGCTTCCTGCCCTGCAGTTGAGCGGGGACGGGGAATCATCAACAGAGAGAGTCGGGGGCTCGCCGATGTGCGGCACATTCTTGGAGAGCATCGTTGCCCGACCTGCAACACGCATGCCCTGCATCAGCCTCCCTGGTTGCGGCTGCACAGAGCACAAGTGCTTGCCCCCTCCAAGAGCCTCCAACAGTGAAACCCACCTTGTTATCGAGGTACTGCCACTGGCTCGCCTCCAGCGAGGTCTCGGCATTGGCGGTGTGGCTCAGCTGGAAGAGAATCACCTGGATGGCGGAGGCCGCAACGGCGCGCGTCTGGGCGTGCACCAGGACCTTCCTGCCCAGATGGTCGGCCAGGAAGCTGTCACGCAGCTGCAGCAGCATGAGGGAATCGTGATGTAGGTGTGACGGCTGGCATTGAGGAGGGGCACGAGGGGAACACCCTCACTGAATGGGTTGCGCAATCGACATCAGAGGAAGTATGGACCCCCTTGCTGGAGATTTGAGGACAGAGGACACCCACCCTGCACCAGCAATCCCCTTAGAGGTACCTGGAGCGTAGCGCCAGCGCATTTGCTGTGGGTGCCCAGTTTGCCAAACAAGATCTCGGCCTGGGGAGATGGCCGGAGGTAATCGGGGGCGGAATGAGATTCAAGTATTGCGATGCATCGGCACTCAACCCCCATCAAGCGCATCACAGTACATATAATGACACCATGATGCTTCTATACTGACATGATGTGGCTGCAGGGACACGACGGCTGCTGCCATCCTCTCCGGCCCCTGAATGATCTAGCCTTGCTTCCCTTTACTTAGCCCATCATATATTCACAGTGCATCCAATAGACATTTTTATTATTTATTCGAATCGTCTCTGCGATTGTCGTGTACAAGTCGCAGGATTTTTCTCGGAGATCGTGTACTGTACTGCTGCCAGACCCACGCCCACCTGAATCTGCAATGGTCGTGTGCTTTCATCTTACGGATGGACCATAGCATATCAAAGCAACACCCAAGCTTACTTTACATGCAAGTATAACCAAAGTACTTGACGTCATCAACGGTCAGCGAAAGGCCTTCAGGCCATATAGAGGCATTTCAGTTGGAGGAGCCCTGAGTGGATTGCCAAAGCTGGTACGTCAGTGAAACAGACGGGTGGGGGAAAGACGGACAAGAAAATCATGGACAGGGTGAACAGCTTCACACGAGATTCAAAAGCTATCGCCATATTTGCACGGCACCAGTGTCAGCTAGAAGCAAGAACCCCTTCCCCTCTCCAGCTCTGATGGAATCCCCCCGACTAAACGACCGTGATGGGCACAGGGCCAGAATGCTTTGCCAGGGAACTACCATCTCACCAATATTTTCAGAAAAGTACAACGTTGAAGCTGAGCAGGGCTCTCTTCCTTTCCTCAGGCATAATGCGCACATGCCAGTGTCTCGTTGGCAGTCCATGCCTGATGGCACCTTGGATGCCACTGGTCATCTGTGTGAGAAGAATTGCTGCCCACCTTCAGATTGGTAGCTCACAGTTTGGTTGAAGTGAAGATTCCGAGCCCACTAGACCCGGAATGGTTGTGAGACTCCCAGGTTGCAGCGCCCCTACTGAGATTGCTGAGTTACTGGAGGCTGTGAAGCAGGGACTGCTTGGGAATCTGCAAGGGCAGCCAACTGCATCAAGTTCTCTTGTAGGCGCTTGGAGTATCTGAGGGTGATGGATATCAGCACTGATCTGAGTTGTCCTGCAAGTGAGAAGAGCAGTATACCCTGCCATGCACATAATGTAACCACAGGGTCATCTGCATCCCCAGCATCCTGCCAGGAATGCAGCTACCCATCGTGCGTCAGACGCCTCGCCCACTCACTGAAGACACTCGTCCATCTTATTCAGGTTTTGGTTCTCCACCACAGCCTGGATCATCTTTGCATTCTCCTCGAGCATCTGTAGAGTGTGGACGAGCTCGGAATTAAGAGCGCTCATACGAGCAATTCTGCATCGTAATGCTTGTTTCACGTGGATTAGAAGCTTTACACCTACCTGCTGGATATCAGCGGTGGTCAGCGGGACAGCCGGTGCCGCTCCCGTTGTGGTCGGTGCCTGCATCGCCTAGGAAGCAACCCCAAATCCCGCCCAGAAACGCCGAGCAGCTCTTGGCAAGAACAAGTGTAAAAAGATTAACGTGTCGTGAGGTTGCACCTCGAGAAAGTGATTCTCTCCAATGGCACACCTTGTCTTGAACAGCTCGCACGATTTCGACGGGGAGGGCAGCACCCGTGATGTGCGTGCTGGGCTGCACCTTCGGCAGCGGCCAGTCGGCCTGTGGCACCTTTGCGGAGCAAGTGCGGGAAGTACCTTCACGAACAGATGTATACAATAATCACCTTCAGATATAATATAGTTTACCACTCGAAGATGCGCATCAAGGGGCAGCGGAGCTCACTTTGCCAGTCTTGCGAGTAGGAAGGAGGTGGCTCGCTATCGGTGCATGCACACCCACCCCGTCTCAAGAGCCCCTATAATGGAGGGCTAGTGCTTCTGAGCCCCCAAAACAAGCCTTTCTAATATGGTGAAAGCCTATCTCCGGTACGAGCTGGCCAGCAGCTGGGGGGTGCTGGCCAGCAACTCGGACATTTGCTACACCCACGATGGAGCCCACCTCGTCACCGCTGCACTGGAAAATGTGAACATCTGGAATGTGAAGCGAGCGCTAGTGGTAGGCAGAGGGGGGTTGGCTGGGTGGAGGGTGGGTTGGGCCTTGCTCACGAAAGGCATGCATGGGGATGAGGCTCATCGCCTGGCGCACAGCCCTGTACTGGAGATGATGCATTGTTATCTCACCAGAAACCTGGCATTCACCCCGCCACACTCACTATGCCCCCAGGTCGAGACGCTCAAGGCGCCTGCCACCCAGTCTGGCAAGCCGGTCGGGGAGATCACCCGACTGGCTGCCTCCCCCGTCTCCGACCAGATCGCAGCGGGACACTCGGACGGCACGGTGCGCGTTTGGGTTGGGGGCAAATCATGGCGTGGCCGCCCATGCTGTGGTTCTGGCGACCTGGGTTATTAGTGATTATGAGTGAATGGCCTCCACGAGGCCCTCACCCAAGGCTGCTGCTCAGTCTCATCTACCCCCCCTTTGCAAACATTGGGCCCCACTCACCCCCCCCATCAATCCCTGCCCCTCACCACGGCCCTCCCAACATTCTGCAGGTCCGCGTCTGGTCGCTGAGCAGCGGCGAGCTGGAGGCCACCTTCTCCGGGCACCGCTCCGGCATCAGCGCGCTGCGCTTCAGCGCCGACGGCGCGCTGCTGGCCTCCGGCGCCCGCGACACCGATGTCGTGGTGTGGGACGTGGGCGCTGAGTCGGGGCTCTTCCGCCTGCGCGGGCACAGTGGGGAGATCACCGCTCTCGCCTTCCTCCCCGCCGCCGGTGCCCTGGTGTCGTCCTCTAAGGACGGGCTGGTGAAGGCCTGGGACCTGGGCACCCAGCACTGCTTCCAGACGCTGACGGGGCACCCGGGCGAGGTCTGGTCGCTGGCCGTGAGCGAGGACCAGAGGCGGCTGGTCACCGGGTCGACGGACGACCTGCTCCGCTGGTACGTGGTGGCGGAGACCGGCGGAGACGGGGGCGCCGCGGACGCGGGCGGGAGCGCCGCCGGCAGGGAGCTCCTCTCTCCACTGGGGACGGTGTCCCGCCGCGCGCCGGACCGCGTCGCCGCTCTTTCCTTTGGCGCTGACGGCGTGCTGCTGGCGCAGTCGGCGGGGCGCGGCGTGGACCTGTACCGCATGCGCGGCGAGGCGGAGGCCGCGCGGCACGCCAAGCGCCGCCGGCGCCGGCGCCGGGAAAAGAAGGGCAAGGCGGGGGCCAAGGGCGGGGAGGCGGGTGGTGCGGACGCACCCCCACCCGAGGACGCAGATGACAGCGATGAAGTCACGGCCCAGGATGAGCTGGAGGCACTGCCGGTGCTGCGCAGCAAGCACAAGGTGCGCGCGGCGGCGCTCGTCCCCGGCGCGCGGCGGGGCGGCACGCTGGGCCTGGTCCTGGCCCTGGCCAACAACTCGCTGGAGGTGTGGGAGTGCGCGGGGCGGGCGGGTGAGGATGCGGCGCCGCCCGCCCGACTGGCGCTGCTGGACGCCGGCGGTCACCGCGCCGACGTCCGGGCGCTGGCGCTGGCAGGGGACGACTCGGTGGCCGTGTCGGCCTCCACCGCCGGGGTCAAAGTCTGGAACCCACGCACAGGGTCCTGCCTGCGCACCGTGGAGGCGGGGTACTGCACCGCGCTGCTCTTCGTCCCCGGCAACCGCCACGTCGTGCTGGGTACCAAGGAGGGGCAGCTGGCGGTCGTGGACATCGCCGCGGGGGAGGTGCAGCTGGAGCTGGAGGCGCACACCTCCACCGTGTGGTGAGCAGGGGTTGGGGATCTTCTGAGGCAACGAGTGCTTTGAATGTGCTTCTTTCATAAAATTTTCGGGGTAGTTTCCGAAATAGGAGCCTTGCCTCCTCACCTTGTGCTGATGCCAAGGAGGTTGGGAGGGAGGAGTGAGGATCTGCTATGGGGGACACGAGGATCGCAGCAGCAACATTTCAGAGCCTCAGCCTGCCATGCTTGTTTGAAGCCTTGCCTACTGACATCAAGGTTGGATGGTGACGCCTACACATACCGCAGCACACAAGCAGGAGCCTATGCTCCACCCACTCCTCACTGAAAACTCCATTCCCCCCATAGAAAGCCCCGCCACATCCTACAAACCCCTCTGACCCCGCAGGTCGCTCACTGCGCTGCCGGATGGCAACGGTTTCATCAGCGGCAGCGGGGACAAGGAGGTCAAGGAATGGGTGTGGACGCTAGAGCCGCAGGAGGATGGCCCTCCCAGGCTGGGTTTCAAACACACACGGTGAGCGTTGGGGTGGGGGGGGGAAGTGTCTCGCATAGGCGCTGTCTCAGACGGTGCACTGAGCCACAGTAAATGCAGCAATCTGCCCGGCGCGGATGTCTATGGGTGAGTGATGCTTTGAGCGATCGAGCTGAATGCACACACACTTCACGCCATTCCACAGCACGCTGCAAATGACGGACGATGTGATGTGCGTGCGAGTAAGCCCCAACGGGAAGCTGCTGGCGGTCGCACTGCTGGATGCCACCGTCCGCATCTTCTTCCTAGACTCCTTCAAGTTCTTCCTCTCCCTGTACGGGCACAAGCTGCCCGTGCTCTGCATGGACATCTCCTCAGGTGGGTGGGCTGGGGCGTTGTTTGGGTTCAGAGGGAGGAAGAGGGCGGAAGGGGGCCTGCTCATGTGCCTGCGCATGGGCTGGTGCCTGCAAAGGCTGAGGGCTGAGGGCGGGAGTGGGGACTGCTCAAAGTATGGCGCAGGGTCTCCTTTGGATGCCTGCAGGCTCGTGGAGATCAAGCCGATGTCTGCTGGAATGCTCCCTGGCCTGCCGCTACGTCATGCCTGCCTCAGCCTAAGCTGCGATGGCTTGCGCCCTCGTCAGCTCGGCGCCATTATCCGGCTCGCTTGGGCAGGCTCGCCCTGCCTTTGCGTCAACCCGCCTCACCCACTCTCATGCCCTCCCCCGATTCCACAGACTCCACGCTGCTCATCACCGGCAGCGCGGACAAGAACCTTAAAATCTGGGGCCTGGACTTTGGCGACTGCCACCGCTCCCTCTTCGCCCATGCCGACTCGGTCATGCAGGCCGCCTTCGTCCCGGGCACGCACTACGTCTTCACGGCAGGAAAGGACGGCGTGGTCAAGTACTGGGACGCCGACAAGTTTGAGCACCTGCTGACCCTGGCGGGGCACCACGGGGCGGTGTGGGCCATGGCGGTGTCCAGTCTCGGCGACTGGCTGCTCACAGGTGGGGTAGTGTGTGGGGTGGGAGCGTGTGGGATATTTGTAGGGACGGTGGCTGGGTCAAGACAGCCACATCTTTGGCCTTTATCAGCTCACAAGGCCCCAACCACCATCACTCCCCCCCTCCACCACACAACCCACAGGGTCTGCGGACCGCTCGCTGCGGCGCTGGTGCCGCACCGACGAGCCCTTCTTCGTGGAGGAGGAGCAGGAGCGGCGGCTGGAGTCTCTGTTCGAGGCCGACCTGGAGGGCGGCGACGACCGGCGCCCCGTCGGCGCGCCCGCCCCCGGGGACGAGGGGTCCGCCGCCCCCGCGGCGCGGCGCACCCTGGAGAGCGTGTCGGCCGCCGACGCGATCGTGGAGGCTCTTGACGCCGCGGCTGCGGAGGAGGCCGCGCTGGAGGAGTGGCGCGCCGCCGCACGCTCCAACCCCTCCCTCCCCCGCCCCGCGCCCTCCCCACTGCTCCTCGGCCTGGCACCCGACGAGTACGTGCTGGCGGCCGTGCGCCGAGTGCGCGGCCCAGACCTGGAAAGCGCGGCGCTGCTCCTGCCCTTCGGCGATGCGCTGCGCCTGCTGGGCTACGTGGCCGGTTGGCTGCGCGGGCCGGCGCGCGGCGGCGCCGCCGCGGAGCTCATGGCCCGCCTCGTGGCCCTGCTCCTCCGCGTGCACCTGGGCCAGCTCAGTGTGACCCCGGCGGCCAGGGGCACGCTGACCGCGCTGCGCGACCTGCTGCACGCGCGCCTGGGCGGCGCGAAACGCGCGCTGGGCTTCAACCTCGCCGCGCTGGGCACGCTGGGCCGCCTGGTCGCCGAGCAGGGGCTGGGGGCCGCGGGGGTCAAGCGCAGCGCGGCCGTGGCGGGACTCTGAGCGTGACGGGCGAGGTTTGGAGTGGGAGCTGCGGTGTGTCTGCTTGAGTGAGCAGGCTCGTCCTTCATGCCGATTGTGTGTGGAGCGACTTTGGCATGATACTCCAGCTTTACTTCCTTTTGCTGTCAGTTGCTAAGCACGCTTCAATGCCGTGTCATTCGCCGCGGGTTGACACTGCCATGGAACCGGTGCCATGCAGGGCCGAGGGTCGCAGAGGCGTAGAAAGTGACGCCGGAATGAATGACACGGCACAGGCACCTTGACAGTGTGCAAATCTACGAGATGATGATGTGCAAGATCACCCAAGTGTAGGACCGTCACTATACGTGCAGCACAGCCAGCCAGCACGGTCGCGGAGCAACTAGCGCTGCTGGTGCCAGCCACCCTGGCGAGGGTGCTGCTGCTCCAACGCCCAGCCCACTTTGATGCTACTGTCGTCGCCCTGTCGGGGCCCCGGCGCGGCAGGGACCTGCTTGTGAGGCCGCAGGCCCTGTCCCTCAGCTGCGGCTCCGCCCTCCTCCGCGACGCTCAGCCAGCGGCTGTTGTTGCAGCGCCGGTCGATCCAGGCCCTGCAGTCGAGCCGCCAGCGGCGGCCGGAGGACAGGTGCCAAACGTGCACGCACCTGTGCATGTGTGGCGGCGGGGGAGGCGGATGAGTTGTGTTTGTAACGTATGACCTGAGAAAGCTTCCGTCATTGTCTCACACATGAGAACTCCAGAAACTGGTGAAGACTGCGATGCAATGCAGTCGATTTCAGCACACGATCCTTGTGACTGGTGCATACACACTCATCATTCCGTCGACACCCTGTTGACAGTGCAGTACCCATTCCTTGCAGTGCGAAGCAGGATAAAGTCAGCCCACCCCCCACGCTCGTCCAAAACAACACACCTCAAGTGCCAGGCTGGGAAGAGACCCGAGCCATCCGTGGCCACTCGAATGCATCGGATATCGCCCAGCCAGGGGATGTGGGGGAAGGTGAAAGTGTCCTCGCTGCCGGGACGGAAGGAGCGTCTGCCCCGCGCCAGGCGCAGGACGCCGCTGGAGGACTGTTCTCCCACCAGCTCCAGCCGCACCTGAGTTGCATTGACAAGGCGTTGCTGGGAATCTTCGTGCTCGAAGTCTTGTGCCGTGCCCATGCTCAGTGGGGAACAGGTGAGGGGCTGCCTCCGCTAAGCCCAGTCTTGGAGCCCTTTGAGCACCTGCCCCTCCAAAACTCTCTCCAAGCAATCGTTGCCATTATCATCCTCCCAATCACCTTTGCCCCTGTGCCAGCAGCACAGCCCCGGCTGGTGTGCACTGTGATCTGGTAGCCGGGCAGCAGCTCGTCTGGGCGGGGAGGGGGCTTGGGGCTGCGCTCTCGGTGGGAGGGGGCCGGCAGGTACCTGCTGGGCACCTCTACTCCAGCCCAGCATTCTGGTTCTGCATAGAACACAACATGTCCTGTGGGCCGCCATGCCGTTCCCCCTCGAATCCACCTGGGAGTCAGATCAGCATGGGTGTGTGAACGCGCGGCGTGGCTCATAGACAGCGAAAGGGTCACAGGGTGCGACAGGATCCCAGCACTTGATGGGGAAAGTGGCTGGAACAGCTGATGCACCCTTATGCATTCTTACAAGTTGAAAGCATCATCCAGCTAGGCACAACCCCACACAAATCTCCTCACCGTTGACAGGGAAAGTGTGTAGGAAGGGCGTCCCCGTACATTGGCCCGACCTTGATCCAGGCCGGGTGCCAGTTGAGCTTCCTACTGCCCTCCACCCACACCTCCAGGCTGTGCAGGGCACCCACGTCTGGACACTCTACCAGCTCGAAAGCGTCCAGCTGGCCCCTCTGGAACGGCGGATTGCTGCTGTGTGCAGACGGTCCGAACTGAAAGGGACCTGTGGTGGTGATGGGGATGGATGGGAGTTCATCTCATGTTCGAATGTGGCAAAGGGATCACATCACGATCAGAAACACATGAGGAAGCATGGTCTTGGCGGACTGGGCAGATGACGGTGTCCATGTGAGGTCCAAGCTGAATCCTTTCCCTGTGGCGGCCATCTCACAGCTCCCTCCGCACCTGCTCTCCCCAGCTCCCCCTCCAGGACCACGAAGAGCCTGCCAGCAGGATGCAGCCCCGCACCCCGCAAGTCAGAGGTCTGGACCTGAAGCCGATACTCGCCAGAGTCCATGCCGTCCTTTCCTTCGTATTGAAGCTGACTGTGCTCTGTGCGGGAAACCCACTGCAGGTGTGGATGGGGTGGGGTCCTGCATGTAGCCAGGGCTGTGGCAGGAGGAACAGCCCTGATCTTAGCTCCTTGCATGCAGATGTCAGACCCACTACGTACCTGCTGACAAGGGTATGTGACGCCTGCTCCACCATGACCCAGGTTTGGTTGGAGTGTGATGTCTCCGACAAACAAGCGGCACTCCTCCCCTGTCCAACAGGGATGTGAGAAGAGCATTGGGGTTCAGTACAGGAGTGCATGGTAAGCATGCACAGCATGGCAGCAGAGTCACGCCCTCTGCGACGATCAACCCTGTCCCAGCAAGTCACCCCCCCGGAAATCCTCTTCCTCCCATGCCTTGGCTCTCCAGGTGCAGTTCCACAGTCTGCCAGTCTGCAGGCCGCTCCAGGCACAGCTCGGTCTCGAGGACGGTGGGGCCGCTCTCGTCCAGCACCGACACATCCACGGCCTGCGGTTCTGCGAGGCAGCAGTGTAACCGGGGTCAAACAATTGCTCAGGAAGGTGAGGGTGCTGGGATTTTCAGTCCCTGCCCTTTGCCAGCATTGAGCTGGAACACGAGACTACCAATTGCTGCCTGCGCCTGCCTGCCCACCATGTCATCGCACCTGCCCCAAGCCCCTTCCCGCGCACCTGCTGTCACCCCTGCAGCGTCGGTGAATATGAGGTGTAGCAGGCCGCTGGCAAGACGGCCTTCCACCTCCAGCACATCGATCGCCACGGTGCAGGAGGGCCGATCCGGCTCTTGCGCTGCGGTTGTGACGAGCGCGTGGGTCACCCAGCGGGAGAAGGAGTAGACCACGGGCTCCGCACCTCCCTCACGCCTGAGCTCCAGGCGATCCACGTGTAGACGTGCACCCCGCCCGCCGCCCTCCAGCCGGAGGGAAAGCGCGGCCGGTGGGGAGGCGGCGGGGAGCTGCAGGTCGAACTCCGCGCAGCCACCGGCGCGGAGGTCGCGGCCGGGCAGCTGGATGGAGTCTGCGCCGCCGGGGTCGCTGGGGTCCGGCGCTGGCTGCAGCACGAGGCTCGCCGGCGGGACGCCCCGCGCCGCCATGCCCTGCGTCATGTGCACGGCCAGCTGGAAAGCGTGGAGGGCCGCCACGGACTCAGCCTCCTCCTCTTCTCCTTCTGTGGCTTCGCTGGCGGGCGATGCCGTCGGGGATCGCGCTGCTCGCATGCCTTGCCCTGCGGCTTGTTTTCCTACCCTGCCGGTGTTTTTCACTGCAGCTGCTGGGACATGCTCCGCCACCTCTACGCTGCTCTCCTCCTCGTCGCTCTCGTGCAGTGGGGAGGGAAAGAGGCTGACCTTTCCTGCCCCTGGGAGCGTGGTGGATGGGCCGAACCAGAGCGCCTGAGGCGAGTCATCCTCGCTCAGCTGAGCCCCTCGCACACTCCAGTCTGGCCTTGCGCCTGGGGTGGGTGCGTGGAATGCGCGAGTCGAGCGCGCAGGCGGGTGTGCAAGTCTCACCGAGGCAGCAGACCGAGCGGGGGAGGCTGCGGTCTCTGCAGGCTTCTCGTCTGGTGCATGTTTGGAGGGCCCTCCACCTGCCTGACACCGGCCCTGCCAGAGTCCTTCCCCCAACTCCACCAGTGGTGTCCTACTGTAGGAACCTCCCAAGGCATGCGCTCAGACCCGAGACCACCAACCGACTCACCCGTCCCGTCGCTGGCGAGGACGACGCGGCGCACGCGTCCGATGCCATAGGCGTCGACCGCCACGCTGTGCACGCTGCCCGCCCTGGCGCCGTGGCTGAGGGCCTGGAGGGGGGTGGAGCCCGTCACGCCCACCAGTCCTACCTGGGTCCGAGCGGTGGTGCCCCCAGGGGGCAGCGCCGAGGTGTGGACCGCGACATGCACGAGGCGTGACCCACCGGCGGCCGGCGCCTGGGCGGGGGAGGTGGGCGACACCGCCGCGCGCTTGGGTGGCGTCCCGGGGACGAAGCGCAGGGCCCCGCCGTCGGTGGGCGTGGCCGGCACGAGGAGCTGAGGCTCCCTGCGGGCCCCCAGCTGCGCGACCTGGACGCCAGACACCTCCCACTCATGGGGCTGGTGGCCGTAGAGCCGCAGGGAGACGGAAGCCAAGGTCGGGCCAAGATCTGCTGAGTGGAATTCGGGGAGGGGGGGGGGGGGTTGCAGTAGGAGTAATTATGATGATAGAAGCGTGCATCCGGATTTGACTGGCAAGGGGGGAGGATGAGGATGCATGCCAGCCAATGCGGGCACAGTCACAGCAGCCACTCCCCCCCCCACCAGCCTTACCTGGGCCGCGGATCTGGAGCTTTTGGGTGGTCCCCTTTAGGAATGTGCCGGGTTTCCATGGTACAAAGGAGGAGATGCTGGCCCCAGTGACGGCCCGGAGGACGACGGAGAGGTTTGTGCCGGGCGCCAGGCCCGCCGGAGTGCAGGGGCTGGTACAGATGCACACCTGGGGTTGGTTGGAGGGAGAGGTTTCATGTGTGGCATGTGCGAGTCTCTTTTTATTGGCTGCAGGCACCACCCGTCGAATTCCCAACATCCACAGTCGCTGCCAGGTCACCCAGCACAGGCTGTTGCCCCCGCATCCCCCGCTCGCCTCGAAGACACAGTCCCGCTCGGGCGGCGCCTGGACCGGGGTCATGGAGACCTCGGCGGCGGCGCCGCCCTGCCCCCCGCCTTCCAGCACCTCGCTGCTCTCAAAGTACCAGGCCTGCACAAAGTGGATATCAATGGACAGTTTCTCTCCAGTTCCGCTTGGGACACTTCAGCCAAACCTGCACCGCGGGCTGGAAGTACGCCATGCGCAGCCCGCACACCTTCTCGCATGTCCAACCACCGCTGTCCTGGGAGCTTCAGAACGCTCCACTGAACATTGTGCAACACCCCTCCGTCCCTCCCCCAACAGAAATGGAATGCCAAACCACTCCTGCACACCTGTGGTGCCGCAGCCTCGCCCACACTCTCCACCACGGCCCAGTCCAGGGCCAGATATCCCGCGGCGCCCAACCCTTGCACGCCCACCGCCAACGCCTGGATCTTGACGGCGCGCGGCAGCGTCAGCGTGTGCGTCAGCACCGCGCGCCGCAGCTCGGTCCTGGGACCGGCCGGCAGGTAGACCCTGACGGGGGGCCCTGAACCCCCGTGCCCAAGCACCACCAGGTACGGCCGGGCGGAGGGCCCCAGGCACAGGGCCTGGCAGTGCAGGGTGACCTCCACCTCAGCCGCCTGGCCGGCGGGCATGAAGGGCAGGTCCAGGCGGTCGCCGCCAGCCACCCAGGCCTGGTGCAGCGCGAGGAATGCCAGTCTTGCGCCCGGCCCGGCCCCCTCCACCAGGACGGAGTCCAGGAGCCAGGGCCCTGCGCCGCGGTCGCAGCGCAGCTCCACCCGCTCCAGCGCGCCCAGAGGGCGCAGCTGCCAGGCGGCTTCCGCGGCGCCGGGCGCCAGCTCGCGCCAGCCGCTGCTCCCGCGCGCGCCACGCAGGCAGAGGCTCGCGCCCGGCGGCGGCCCGCCGCCGCTCGGCGTGCGCACCGATACGCAGTACAGCTCGCAGTCGGCGCGCGGGTTGCGCCAGGTGGCGGCCAGCGGGGCGGTGGCCGACTGGCAACCGCGCCCCAGCTCCGCGTCTGCGGCGAGGTACAGCACCCGCGCCCCGGCGCTCAGGGCCAGGAACTCGCAGTGCCAGGTGGCGCCGGCGGGGGACACGCGCGTCACGCCCAGCTCGCCGCCCGTGATGTCGCTCAGGTCCAGTGTCAAAACGACGTCCAGCTCGGCCACCCGACCTGGCTGCGTAGCGTGCGCGGGCGGAGACAGGTGCAGCGTCTGGCGCTGGCCGGGGTCCGCGGTCCAGATCGCCAGGGTCAGGCCCTGGGGGTGGCCCTTGCCCACGCAGTCCGAGGTGTAGATGGCAATGCGGGTGGGTTGCGCGGGCTGCAGGCGTGGATATTGAGGAGGTACAGGAGAGGTGTTGAGAGGAGGTGCAAGGATGCTGGAAGGAGCGGGAAGGAGGCGGGAAGGGGTCGCGCATGTCTGGATTGGGCAGTGAATGCATCGCAGACTCCCCTGCCTGCAGCCCACCACAATGAATACTAAGTTGTGGAGGCCCACAACAATCCCCTGGACACCCCTGCAGCCTCACCTGCAATACAGTCTGAGCAACAATAGGACTGAGGTTTCCCGTCTGGACGCCCGTCGTCGCCACCTGCACCGGCTGCCGCACAACTACGCTCTCCCCACACGGTGGCTGGCCTGTGCCAGGCTGCAGCGTGAGCGAGAGCCCATGGCGATCCCCCAGCCAGCGCCGGGCGGGGAAACGATACGTCTCACCGTGGTCACCACCGCGCTTGCTGCGCCGCACCTCGACCTCCACCCAGTCCAGCTTCCAGGCAGGTGCCGGGCTCGAGGCGTCCATTTCTAGGGTGATGCTGCTGATGCCCTCCAGGGCCGCGGCCTCCACCTGCGTTGCATGGGCTCGAGGGTCAGGCAGTACACACTTGTGGACTCCACCTTGCATGGGTGCAGCCTTGCCCCAGACAGGCGCCAACTATGAGTGACCAGGGGTGACCACCGCTCCCTGCTCTCCCGGTCACCCATACCCATACTAACCTGGAACTCGGTGCTGGACCCCGGCTGGAAGGCGCCGCCGGCGCCGGACAGCCGCAGCGGCCCCACGCTGCAGCCCTTGGCGTCGTGCATGCTGAGCGCCACCTGCGCTGACATTCCAGTACTTGTTCCGGGGCATGTGGCCACGCGGATGCGGTACTGCGCCGTGCGGTACTGCATGGCGTCGGTCCCAGTGGGTAAGGCGTCTGGCACAGAGTGCGCTGCATCGGTGGGTGGCCTTGCGACTTCATCCGCCCCGCCCGCAGCCCGCCCTGCGAGCACGGCATCGGCGGGGAACAGATCTAATGCTGACGTGCCCTGTCCCTCTCGCCCCCGCCGCCCCGCCTGGAACACGACCAGCAGGTCCAGGGAGGGGCAGGCGACACGCACTTCTTCCAGGCGGTAGGCTTGCTGCTCGGCGGCAGGAGGAGGGTGAGCTTCCAGGGTCAAGCGCCGCAGGGCCCCGAGGGGCGCGGCCGGCAGCACCGCATGCCCCGCCGCATCCAGCGGCGCCCAGGGACTGGACCCGCGGTCCCCATGCAGACGCACGCGGCCGGCGGCCAGGGCGCCGGTGGCCGCGACCCCGGGGCCCCAGACCTGCACCGAGTACTCGTGGGGCGCGGCGCGGGGGTCGCCTCGATGGCTGACCAGGGTCAACCTGGTCTGGCCCGGGCCCCTGTCCCGGGAGAGCCACTGCCGGCAGAGGAAGGCGGTGCTGGCGCCTGGCAGGTTTGGTTGTGGAGGGGGATGGAGCAAGGGGTCGCCCCTGTGCCTGCTGGATCAGAGTCCCTTGTTGCACAGCTCGCCAGTCATCGTCAGGATGAGTCCTACCCGATACGATGACATGATTGCCGGCCCAGTCCCCCCTTCCATGCCATGCCGCTCACCGTTCGCCTCTTCCAGCACCTCTGCCCAGTCCAGGTGCCAGTGGGGGGCAAGTCCGGCGGCGTCGTGGGACACCACCAGGCGGCGCAGCGCTCCCACGGGGGCCAGGCACAGCCGGAACACGGCCTGCGTCCCCGGCGAAAAGTCCGCGGGCTGGGCGGGGAGGCGCGTGGCCGGCGTGGCGCCGGCGTCGCCGAGCAGCTCCAGCGAGACAGCCGCAGAGGTGCCGGCGCCTTTGAACCGGCTGGTCGCCAGCGTGACCCGCAGCCAGGCCGGGGGCGCGGCGGCGGCGTGGGGCGTGAGGCGGCGCGGGGAGGGGAGGGGGCCGCGCGAACTCCTCGCCTCCTCGCTGGGAGCGTGGGGGGCGGAAGAGGACGGCGGGGTGAGCACGCAGGGCACTCAGGGTCACAGCACTCGTGGATGGACCACAGCCACACACCCCGCCCCGCTTCCGGCCCGTGTCAGCAGTCGACGCTGCAGGCTTGCCTGGGCACCAGGCGCAGGGTGCGCCCCGCTTTCCCGGGCTCCTCTCTCGCCTTGGGGAGGCACGTCCAGCGCCGGCCGTCGGCCAGGCAAGTCACGCTGACCTGGCGCAGCAGGCACAGCAGGTCCGGGAGGTCGCTGGTGACAGACACGGCGTCCAGGCTGTCCAGCTGGATGCCTTCAGCTACTTCCTGGTGACGGGTCCTGCATGCGACACGGGTAGCAGTGTGTATGCGGGGGGGGGGGGCGTCATAGTACTCACATCCCCAGAGTGGTCGTCAGCCGAGGCTTGCGCTCGCAGATGCGCCACACAATCACAACCTCAACCTGCGAGCTGAATCAGCGGCCTCCCTCCGCAAACCTGTGCTCCGGGATGCGCAGCTCCAGCCGGCTGGGAGAAGTGCCCTGGACGCTAGCGCCCACGCCAGTCCTTCCCTCCAGCACGACGGTCAGCGCCACCGCTTGCTGCAGCGGGTCGGATAGCGCCAGGTCCACCCGGTACATTGCGTTGTTGAGACCTGATGTCGGCTCCTCGGCACACGCCAGGCGCCGCATGATGCGCCTGGATGAGGGCGGTGGTGGTTGGATGATGTGAGCAAGACCGGAGATCAACAGTCGCGCGTGGCACGGGCGGCAGTCCTCAGAGCTACCCCAACCGTGATGTGGCTGCCAGGTACTTGACTTCCACTTCACAGCAGGGAGTGGCCGTCATCCAGTCGGAAAGATGCGATTGCACAAAACGAGTCTCCCCCTCCAGGGGGAACTCACCCGTCCCCTCGCTCCGTGCACAGCCACTGGCGGCAGGGGAAAACGGCCCAGTTGGCGTCTGAGCCGCGCTGCCTGACCCTCACCTCGTCCAGCCACCAGGACGGCTGGGGACCCGAGGCATCGTGCATCACGGTGACCTGCACAAATGGGCGGGGCGTGGGTCTTAGGCATGGGGCTATGGAGAAGATGGCCAGACCTCGTTACCTTGCCAACTTAGGCTCCAGCATCGGCAATGCCTCGCCCGCTGCATCCTCGAGGCCCCAATAAGGCCCCACCGAGTACCCAGTGGGACGCCTCACCGCACGTAGTCGGCCGAGGCAGGGGCATCGGATCTTCATGGTGCTCTGCGTGCCCCTCTGGAAGGGGACGGTGCCGGGGGCAGGGACCAGGGTGTGCTCCCCCGAGGAGGCCTCCACGCCGTGCAACTCCATGACCACCTGCGCCGAGGTGCCGGCGTCCCTGCGATCCCCCGTCGTCACTCTGATCTCATACACGGCCGGCACGGCCAGGGGCCGCGCTGTGGGAACATGGGATCCGGTGCCTGTCGCTGCCCGCCGCCTGGGCGGGGAGAGTTCTTGGCGGAGAGGGGGGGCTGAGGGCGCCACCTGCGGGGGCGGGGCCGGCGGCGTGGCCTCGGCCGGCCAGGGCCCAGGACCTGGGGGCTCCAGCAGGAGGCGGGGCATTTTGGGATCTGCATCGCGCCTGGTCTTTGTGGGAGACATGGATCGGCGAGGTTCCTGGAAGCAACGCGTCCACGCCCTCGAGATCTTGGACACCCAGACCTGCATGAGGGAGGGGGTGATGAAGCGCGGGGATCCCACGATATCATCCATCTTGCCAAGGGGGGTGAAATGGGTGGGGATGGCAGCCAGGGCAGGGCCTTCGAGGGTGCCTGTAAACGCCTATCTACGCGGGATGTCACCAGAGCACCTGACATATTTTTGCTCCCCCAAACCTGTGCGTCCTCGGGGGAGCTGGCGGCAAAGAGGTGCACGTGGGAGCCACAGGCCAAACTGAAAACGCAGCCGGCGCCGGCGGCCCTCGTCCTGCCGGGATCCAGGTGCCTGTCGTCCACCAGGCCTGCCCCGATGCCCGGAGCGTAACCGCGGGGCATGGCGCGCACGGGGACCCGGTCGAGAGGTATGTAGCGAGCCTCCTCCTCCGGGTCCGGCGAAGGAGCGTAGCACAGCCGATCCGCCGCCAGGACGACCTGCCGTGGAGCGGGCATGAGGACATGGGGCAATGAGAGGGACGAACAGGGACTCACATCAATCTCAGGGTGCCAAAATTGTATTCGTTCACCACCTTACCCATCTTCGCCGCCACTTGCGGAATGAGCCTGCATCAGATGCCTTAAGGAGCCAGCCGGCATGGAGCGGGGGCGCAAAGCCCTGCGACGGATTCCAGGTGGTGTGGCGCCGATCCCATTCTTCCATCAGCCCATGGAGACCGTTTCCACCTGGATCGGGGCTGGAGGGGCGTACATGGCGCCACCACTCCCAGGATTCCATGCCGTGAGGGCAGGGGTCCCTGCAAGGGTGGGTGAGTCCTGGTGAGCGATTCTCCCAGTCGCGATCCCCTGGAAGCCTAGCTGATGGGGCAATACTGAATATGCAAGTTAAGTTCTAGCTCTATATATCTGTGCAAACGTCGGAGGCGCAAGGTCAACCAGTGTGCAGGGACACCGGTCCGCCGGATCCCGTCACGAGCAGATTGCGACGAGACTCCCCGGTCGGGTGACAGGACCGGAGACCCTTGCCAGCGCTCGGTGCTTTTTGGGTGCTTTTAAGAGCTGTGAAATCAGCCTTTCGACCGACTGAGAGTAAGAGCTTACACCAAAAGAGATGTCTCCAAAAATTCGTACAACAAGCATGGGTCAGGAGGGCTTTGGTCTACACCACTGCCCCAGGGTGGTCAGACTCGGCCCACCTCGGCGCCAAGCCGCTTCACCCGTGACCGCAGCTTCTTGTTCTGCCGAACCGTCTCCAGCGTCATCTTGTCGAGGAGAACGACGTGGTTTGGTTAGATTCGTGATCCTAGATTTGGAGGACGGCTGGGTGTATCAATCATCGCCCAATGGTCTGCATCTCCAACGTCTGATTTTAGCACCTTCCTAGTCCTCTTCTCCTTCCCATTCCACCAACAGACCCCCTCACCGCATCGGGCGCCACTCCCCCGGTCCACATGCGGTCCAGCAGGGTGTCAGCGCGCGCGTCGTCCTCTGTGCGCACGCAGATGTCGAGCAGGGCGTTGAAGACGGGCGCGCTGGGCTGCAGGCCCCACCGCCCCTCCATCGTGTCCAGGAGGGCCATGATGCTGTCCCACCGGGGCGGCTTGCTCCTGCCCATGCCACGTATGAGCACGCTGAAGGCAATCTCATCCGGGACCAGTGCATCGTCGGCTGAGGGAAAGTGAGGAAGGGGTGGGCTGTACGGCATGGCTGGCGAATGAGACCGCTGCATTGGGAGGAGATCTCTCCAGTACGTGATTTCCCTTGGAGCAACAGCGTGTAGTCCACCCTGACCAGCTGCGGAACCCTTTCCAGCCAAGCACTCGACAGCCTGGTGCCATGTCTGTCACCCTCTGACCACGCACCAAACAGCTCGTTGAAGACGTTCTCCGCCAGGTCAGCCCGCCCGTTCTCCACGCAGGCATGCAGCAGTGAGGTGGCCGCCATGGCATCGGGCTGCACGCCCAGCCTGGCCAAGGAGGCCAACTCGCTGATGGCGTCCCTCACCCGCCCCGAGCGTCCCAGGGAACGTATGCGCTTGGTGGTCTCAATGCGGGCCGCCTGGTCGGCGCTGGAGGAGCCCTGCAGGTTCTTGTGGCGGGCTTCAGAAGGGGTGGGCTCCCTGGCAGCCCCATGCCTCATGCCACCACCTCATGGCCTCCCGACCCCTTTCGTCACCGGACCAAATGCACCTGAGTGGCCTGGACTAATGTCAGCCGTGATTTTACTACACTTTGGCCCGCCGCATGTCCTGGAGTCCACCGAGATCCGACGTGAGGGCGGAACGGATGGGCAGGGGGTGCCGGCTGGAGGAGGGGAGCGGAGGCCATGGCACGCCACTTCACGCATGCATTCTGAAGCTTCAACATCCAAGATTGAGTCCAAGCTGGCCGGCTCGCAGTACTCGAAGACCAGCGCGTCAAGCTGCCGTGGGAGAAATTCCATCCACGGGATGCGGCGCCTGCTGCGACTGTTAGAAGACTCGCTCCCCCGTGATGCTCACGGCAGTAGACCCGCGAAGGGATGTCGAACCCTGATATCACAATATTCGGATTTCTTTCTAGATAAAATCAGGCAGCTCCGATCCCTCTGCAGCGCAGGATCGGTGATCGACCCACCCGGACACGTCGTTCCTCAGTGCAGGGTGATGGCAGGCCCTGGCCCTGCCTCCGAGGGCGAGGCGAGCGCCTCGGCCACGGCAGCTAGGAATATGCATGGGAAGCTATCGCACCTCATGAAGAAATACGGAAGGGTCGCCCTGGGCGTCCACCTCTCCGTCTACGCCTGTTTCTTCGCAGGTATGTCGTTCCTGGGACGTCAGGACTGACGATATGCTTCAGCCCACTCCAGCTCTAGATGAATGCATTCTTCCCATCGACCACCCTCCTTCAGGGTGCTATGTGGCGGTGGAGAGCCACCTGGACGTGCCTGGCTACCTGGAGAGGTTTGGGCTCATGACCCCCCCTGTGGAGGGCGAGCCCGCGCAAGAAAAGGGGTGGGTGCACAAGGCGCTGGCCGGCTCCAGTTCAAGCTTGGCGCTGGCATTCATCGCCAACAAGGCCTTGATACCCGTGCGGGTGCCCATCACTCTCGGCCTCACACCGCCAGTTGCCAAGTATGTGGACTTCGCTTTTTATGATGGTTGTTGGTCGTGGCTGTGCAGGGGTCGACTTCATTCAAGGAGTGCAGCTGTGCGCATGCATGCATGAGTACCTGGCAGTGCGCTCTGTTGCTACTGATTGGCGTTGGCTGGTTCCAGGGGTTGCTCTCGGTGTCCTCGCCAGTGCATGATCAAGTTGACCTCTGAACCTGCCAGACCTCCTGGGGGTCGATGGACTCTTTTCCACTTCCTTCTCATTCATCCCAAGATGAAGCTTGGCATCTGCACAACCAACTTACTGCTTGCCTCATCCTGGGATGTTGCAGGTTTATTCGGAATTTCAGAGGGCGAGCAGGATAGCCTGGGAGCCGTTTTGAGCGTTTCGATACTATGTCACCCAGGCGTGGGCATGCGAGTTAAAATGGACTCCCTCACGGGCCATTTTCCCTGGATGAGGAATTTTGGAGCCTCAGTGGTTCACGATCGCAGCCGATTGCCGTAGCCGACCCAGTCTGGCTGAAGCTTCTGCGCAAAGCTAATCCCTTGCCCAGACTCTGGGGTGCTTTGGCAGGGTACTATTGCACTCTTGTGATCATGCATGTACCCCGGCTTGGCCACATGCTGTGCAAACTAGGTTACATGCTGCCGGCTGAGGTCCGAGTAGTGGAGGCGACTTCAAGTGTGGTCTCCTCTGCACCAGATGTGCATCTGCTGGTGCCTCTGAATCTGACTTCGAGGAGTGAGCTTGTCAATACTGTCTCGATGACACATGTCAACAAATGCATCAGTGTAGGGCGTGTATGGGGAGGACGAGCGGAAGGGTGGTGACAGATTGGAGCATGCTGGTGGTCTGGAGATCGCTCATAAAGGGGACGCAGAGGGCAACCTGCGAAATCCCAGATTGCTCAAGATGGGTGGGGGTCGGCTAAGGACGTGCGACCATTTGAGAAGACGCTCCCAGCGACACACACATCCATTTCTCTATGACTGTACTGCCACTATGCATTGCCTATCAAACCTGGTGAGGTTTCAGCACTTGGAAATGGGTGACCCGCTCTGAGTAACTGTGGGGCCTCCTCAGGATGCCTCCTGCCAGGCTTCTCAGTACTTCTTAACACATCAAAGGATCTCCAAGAAAGGGACTAGCTGCGTTAAGGCCCAGCGCGCCATGTGGAGCTTGCAAGGGATTAAAATCATCCTCGTCAGTGCAAGCATCATAGATGCAGGCTCGGCAGTGTGCTCTCAATCCAAATTCTTCCAGAATTGTGGTGAGCTTTGCCAGCACTGATGCTAAGATTCTCGTCCACCTGCTGACTCAAACATCCAGACAAGCAATGCGCATTAAAAGCATGCATCCAGACCAAGCACTGTATTTACAGTAAATCTGCAGTGAACGGGCACCCCTTTCTACAAGCGCTCCCAATCGCGCCCAAAGCTTGAAGCCCAGACTCTCAAACGAGGACCGGTATCGGCGTCGACCCTTCAAGCCCTTTGGAAGTCACATACCACTATAGGTAAAGCTTTTGCCGGTTTCAAGGTTGAGGAGCGCCAGCACGTAAGCCACACCGGTGTATCAGGGCAGCAGCTGCAATGAACAAGCGGCGCGCCACAGGGAGTAGCGACTTGTTCTCTGCCAGCAAGGTACACGTGGTCATTGTCTGAAGGTCGTGCGCTGTGCCCAGCCTGTGAGGTCGAACTCGATTTGGGCTCGCTTGTCAATCCATGTTCCACATTCAACCCAGAGCTGGAAGCCGACCGAAGACAGCGAGGATCGAAGGACAACGTTCGTGGCACACCTTAAAGCCCTGAACTCTCAGTATGCAAAGTGAGATCGAGCCGATGAGTGCAGTTTAGGCAGTGTCTATCAATAGTAGCGGCATCTCATACAGGGTTTGCACCCAGCCAGCCTTGTCAACCTCGTCAGCTCAATCCCCCTGTACTCCATGTGCATTAGGTGGATAGCGCAGCAGGCCAGTTCTCAGCCTGCCCAGGTCTGGACGGCGGGGGCTGAAGACTACCTGCACCATTCCAAGCAGCTTCTGGCCGACTTCCAGGACGTCCTCCAGGCGGCGGATCAACCTGCGCCGTCTGCACTTGGAGGTGTGCCTCGGGGAAGAATATACTGGCCTGGCGTATCCTGGCACAACTCTGGACACAGAGGCTTGTGGGTGGGTCGTCCGCATCTCATGCAACTAGCCTGGCCACATTCCCACACTTCCTGATCCCTACCGCTGACACTTTCAATTTCCCCCCTCCCCGTTTCTCTCCAGCGACCAAGCCCAGCCTGCCTGCCTTTGGTGGGCTGAGCACGCCTGCCGCCACGGCAGCTACCCCCCTCTTCAATTTTGGTGCAGCGCCGGTGTCCTTTGGCACACCAGGCCCCACTCCCTCTGCAGCGCCACCCATTGAGGCCCACGAAGAGGAGGAAGACGTGCAGGAGGAGCCAGAGGTGAGTGGGCAGGCGGCCTGCTGATGGCCGTGCTTGTGGGTCATCGACTGGCCTGGACACAGAGGGACTCAGTCGCTGCCGCCGCGTTTTTCATGGAACAGCAGCCTCACTCATTGTCCGGCCCCAGCCTGGCTACTGCTTGGACCCCTTGCCATTCCCTGCCAGCCATGTTCACGAACTCCCACAACCCCTCCACCCTCTCGCCACCCATCACTTTCCTGCCTCCGCCTCACAGGAGGTTCAGATAGAAACGGGCGACATCCAGGTGCTGCTGAAGCAGCGCGCCTCGCTGCTCGTCATGTCCGAGGCCAAGAAGTGGGAGGACCGAGGCCGGGGCATGCTCACGCTGCGCCAGCCCCGCTCCGGCGGCCAGCCCTTTCTGGTGTTCACCACCGACACGGGGCGCGTGCTGGTCAACGCGCCCTTGGTGCGCGGCATGAAGCCGACGGGGAACCCCAAGACGCCGCGCAACCTGGTCATGGCCCTGCACAACGCGGTGGGGGGGGGACCCCCCGCGCACGGCATGTACATCTTCAAGGCGGAGGACGCGGAGGCGGCCAAGGCGCTGCGGGGCGCCATCCTGCAGCACGTCTGACGGGCATGGAGGCCTGGATGGCGGGGGGCTGGCGGGCTGGGCGGCGACGCGCGGGGTGTAGGTTGGGGGACCGTGCCTGGAAATCCCTGTTCTTGAGCAGGATCGACTGCACGTCGGTCGACAGAACGAGCGGGCCGACCTCCCATTCCCTCCTGCTGTCGCACCCCACTGTCCCTCCAACAACACCCCCTGCCAGCAAGTGTGACCTGCGCCTGCTCCTCCCCGTTCCTTCCCTTGTTCTGGGCATGGTGCGAGCCCGTCTCCACACAAGTGTAGCAGAGCATGGAGCGCGGTGGCAGGACCAAGGCTGGGGGGGAAACCTCTGACCTTGGGGAGCCGCTCCAGTCCATGCACCCAAACAGTGGTGTCCCCTGAGCCCCCTCTCCGCCCCCCCCCCCCCCCGAGCCTCCATCCCCACTCTCATGCCTCTTGGGCTGCCGGCAGCTTCACGCGTGCCAGGTTGCGTGCCGAGCTCTGGTAGCTGGCCAGCACCACGATGTCGGCCACCTGGACGTGGGGCGGGCGCGTCGCCGCGTAGAGCACGTTGTCGGCGATGTCGGCGGCGCGCAGGGGGTCGATGCCGGCGTAGACGGCGGCCTCGGCGGCCAGGTCGCCCTTGGTCCGCACCACGCTGAACTCCGTTCGCACCGCGCCTGGATGGCAAGGGGGCAGGGTGTCCGAGAGCGGGTGTTGAATGATGGCTAGATGAGGATGGAAGAGGGTGTCGGCGGTAAACTGGGGAAGGCATGGCACAGCCAGCTCTCTGTGGAGCAAACTGGACAGGAGCAGGCCCCAGGTGAGGCCCCAGAGGGGGTCCCATTCCTGCAGTCAAGTTGCTCGTGGCTGATTTCTGGACATGGGGCTCCCGGTGCCAACAATGGGAACCACAAACCAGCCCTGCCAACAACATACCGGGGCTGATGGAGGTGACGCGGATGTCAGTGCCGTTGAGGTCGTGGCGGGCGGCCTTGGTCATGGCGTCGACGGCGTGCTTGGTGGCGCAGTAGCCGCTGCCGCCCACATACGCCTCGTGCCCGGCGATGCTGCTCATGTTGATCACGTGCCCGCGATTACGCTGCGATGGGGTGAGCGGTGGCTGAGGGGTTGGCAGGCGGACTCTGGCGCTCAGGTGGTTGGCGTGGGTGGGTGGCGGAGCACTTGAAGGAGGGATTCTGGCAGGGTGGCAGTCTGGGCATGGCGATCACGAGTCACACCCCGCCCTCAGGCTTCCGTACGTTCAATAGCATGCCGACACCCCCACATGCACCTCCTCACCTTCACCATGCCCGGGATGAAGGTTCTACAGAAAGCAAGAACGGAGAGAATGTTGGTGTTGACCATCGTGGCGACGTCCTCCAGCAAGTTTTCGTGGATGGCGTTGGAGCCCAGAGCCAGGCCGGCATTGTTGACCAGAATATCCACTGCCTTGAAGTCCTCCGGCAGCCGATCTGGCAGGGAGGTGATGGCATTGATGCTCTGTACATCCAAGGACTCAACGTAGATGGGCACCTGGGATGCGAGGGGGGTAAGAAGTCCGAGCGTGAGCTTTCGTGAAGATCCCAGGTAGTTGGGTATCAGGCGGCGGCGCAAGGGCACACACCACCACCTTGGGTTCATGATTCCCGTACCCCCCAGCACCCTACAACTCATCACCGCCAACACACGCAAACCTTGTATTCTTGAGTCAGCTTGTCTTTCAAGGCTTGAAGGCGCTCCAGGCGGCGTGCGACCAGGATGAGGCGGCACCCTGCCTCAGCAAAGCGCCAAGCACAGGCCTCCCCAATGCCAGAGCTTGCCCCTGCACCCCATATGCACGTGTGGAAGCATATGAAATTCCCAGATCAAAGGTTCGATATGCACCTCAAATCCAATTTTGAACTATGCATGCTCTAGAGACTCACCCGAGATCAGCACCGTCTGATCGCGAACGCTGTAGGACTTATACAGTGCGGACGCCATGTCGAGTCCAAGGACAAAGAATGGAGAGGGCTTGTCTGAGGTGTGGATCACGTCAAGTTCAAAATTGTGTAACCTCAGAGTTTTCTTCGGACCCCCATAAACAAGGGTTGGTTGACGTCTTGATCTGCGAAGGAGATGGTGATGGGTGGCAAGAGCTTGCTTCGCGTGCTGGGACCTGTTCATGGGTTGTGAGAAGCACTCGGCGTCATTGTCCTGCACCTCTTCGCACGTTGCGACCAGAACTTGTATATTCGAATCGCCTCTCTGTCCTAGTACTATCGCTCCTGTCCTCCTACTCGCCCTCCGCTCGACCTTGCGGGCACCACCACGGGACAGCGGGGCGGGTGCCTGGCTGCCATGACGGTGTCGACGTCCTGCACAGCACTGGGGCGGTCCATCACCAGCCTTGCGCGGTTCCAGCTCGACTCAGCTGCGTGCTGGAGCTTGCAGCAGGTAGCGCACTACGCCAAGGCCTCGGGAGGGTCTGGTGGGGGTGGCCACGCCCAGAGGACGAATCGCCTGCTCAAGGTCCTAGAGCCGCAGCAGACAACCGCAGTGGCACGAAGTCTCGAGGAGCTGGAGGATGCAAGGCAGCGGTGCGAGGGGTTTGGGCTTAGGCTGTGTGTGTCACTGGCACCCAGGCTGGGTGAGGGCCAAGGACATTGCTGTGGACCCTGCCAATCCTCTGACGCCCGCCCGTTTTCGCTGCCCCAGGTCACGGGAGTACAGCCGTCTCAAGATGCGGCAGCACCGCGCCTGGCAGGCCGACCTGTCAGGCAAGCTGAAGCTGAAGCAGGCCGCGCTGGCGGCCCTGCCCGACCACCTGCGGGCGGCGGCCGAGGTCCCCGACCTCTCCCTCTTCCCCCTCAACCGCAACGTGTGGAGGGAGACCCCCCCCGCAGAGGCCAAGGTGGTCAAGGCCGCGGCGCACACCTCGCGGACGCGCAACATCGGCACCAAGCGCCAGGGCTAGGCGGCATGGAGGTTGCTGACATATGGTGAACGCTTTTGGGCTGGCTGGCCTCCATGGATGTTGCACCGCGAATGTCATAGGTTCCCGCCACATGCTCCACTGCGACATAAACCGGGTCCTGTATCTTGACATGCTGCAAAGAACAAGCAAGAGCTTTACAGAGCGTAGAGCAGGGGCTGGGGCGGACAGACGGTGTGTTGCTAGAGGTCACGCTCTTGGCTTGCACTTGCGGGGTGAGACCCGCCCGCCAGGAAGGGCCTCACATCGCAGCAGCGAGGACTGCCTGCACCCAAAGGATCTCCTTGGAGGCCAGAGCTCGCTCCCTCTCCACCCCCTCTCGAAACAAACAAGTCCACAACACACTCAGGTGATGACGGTGGGCTTGTCGCGCCCCGTCAGCGCGGGCAGGTCCGACAGCTCCAGCGCGGTGGCGATGATGCCCGCCAGCACGTCCTGCGCGTCGCGGTCGAAGTCGGCGGGATCGTCGCGGTAGGTCTCCACGTACATGCGAATGGTGGCCCCAGCGCTGCCAGTGCCCGACAGCCGGAAGATGATGCGCGAGCCGTCCCGGAATACGACGCGGATGCCCTGGCCCTTTGCCACCGAGCCGTCGATGGGGTCAGTGTAGGCAAAGTTGTCGGCCGTCTCCAGCACGCGGCCGCCCAGCTCTGTGCCGGGCTGCACGGTGTCGATCACACTCTCGGTCAGGTGCGCCATGACCTTCTCTGCACGCTCGCTCTCCACGCCCTCGTAGTCGTAGCGGGAGTAGAAGTTGCGGCCGTAGGTGCGCCAGTGCTCGGTGACCACGTCGCGGACGGAGACCAGCGCCGCGCCCTCCCCCCGCCCCTCGTTCTTGGTCGCCAGGATGCTGAGCCAGGCCAGCACCGCCCAGAGCCCGTCCTTCTCGCGCACGTGGTCGGCCCCCGTGCCGAAGCTCTCCTCGCCACAGATGGAGCACTGCCCCGCGTCCATCAGGTTGCCGAAGAACTTCCAGCCCGTGGGCGTCTCGTGGAAGGGCAGGTTCAGGCGCTTGGCCACCCTGTCCAGGGCGCCGGAGGTGGGCATGGAGCGTGCCACGCCCTTCAGGCCCGCCGAGAAGTAGGGGATGGCGGCCTGGGCGTTGGCCGCGATCACCGCCACCGAGTCAGAGGGGGTGACGAAGAAGGAGCGGCCCAGGATCATGTTGCGGTCGCCGTCGCCGTCGGAGGCGGCGCCAAAGTCGGGGGCGTCGGTGCCGAACAGCCGCTCCACCAGCTCATGGGCGTAGGTCAGGTTGGGGTCGGGGTGCCCGCCGCCGAAATCCTCCTTGGGCACGCAGTTGAGCAGGGCGTCGGGGGAGGCGCCCAGCTCGTCGACAAACAGCCGGCTGGCGTAGGCGCCAGTGACGGCATGCAACGCGTCATACACAAAGCTGAAGCGGGGGTTGGCGAAGAAGCTGCGCAGCTTGGCAAAGTCAAACACCTCCTGCGGAAATGGGGGGAATGGTGAGTTGGGGTCGGGAGGATGGGTGGGGGATGTGTGGCTGCTGATGTAGCAGAGAAGGCTTGGAGATGGGCACAGGTCAGGAAAAGGAACACACCATTCGAGGGGTGTGTGCATGGCATGGGAACTGAGACCATGATGCATGCCCCCTATAACACCCGCTAGCCGATGCAGGACCACACCCTCACCCTCAACCCAACCCACCCTGAGCTCGTCAAAGTAGTCGGTGGTGTAGTCGATGACCTCCACCTCAAAGTCCCCGAAGCTGGTGGTCCCAAGCTTGCTCAGGTCCACGTCCGGGAAGTCGGCGATCTTCAGCTCCTGGATGGACTGGGTGAAGCCGTAGATCTTGTCGGTGATCTTCTCCGGCGCGGGCTCCCCCGCGCTGTAGTTGAACTTGATACCCCAGTCCTCATCGGGGCCGGCGGGGTTGTGGCTGGCGCTCATGATCAGGCCGCCATAGAGCTTGCGCCGGCGGATGATGGCCGACATGGCGGGGGTGGCGGTGATGGCGTCCTTGCCCACCACGACCTTCTTCAGCCCGTTGCCGGCGGCCAGCTTCAGGATGATCTGCACCGCCTCCTTGTTGAAGTAGCGGCCGTCGCCTCCCAGCGCGATGGTCTTGCCCTTGGCCTCCTCGCCTAGGGCCAGGAAGAGGGACTGGATCCAGTTGGCCAGGTAGTTCTCGCTCTGGAACACCTTGGTCTTCTTGCGGAGGCCCGAGGTCCCCGTCTTCTGGCCCTCGATGGGCTTTGTGGGCTTGGACACCACGCTGAAGCCCTGGGAAGGAGGGGGTGTCGGTAGGAGGGTGGGCCAGGGCACACCCTGGCGTCGGAGGGAAGCTATTGCCGATGCTCTCCGGGTCATGAGATGGCAGCGAGATCCACTCGCACCTGGGTCGCGGCGGATGCCATGACGAAGGGTTTGTTTGATCGATGAGGCCGGAGAGCGGAGCGAGGGGTCGAGTGCGGTCGGGGCCCGGTTGAGAAGGCAGGTGCACGCGATCTGCTGAGCACCAGGAGAGAGGGGATCGGAGCGGGACGTCAAATGAGGACGCAGCCGGTGTGATGTGGGGTTTGAATATGCCGGGTATGGGTGGGACAAGTGCTACCATGTCCAAGCAAGTGTCTGGGCCGGGCGGGGATGCAACATGGGTGCGTGATCTCACTTTCTACACCCAGGCATCCTCCACCCCGAGACAAGCCACCAAAGGGGAGGCTGTAACTTTCATGGACCAGCGTGGCAGGGAGTGTGGCTGAATGAAAAGCCACTGTTGCAACGCAAAGGGCCCTGCTCACGCCCTCTCGAGAGTGTATGAGACCGGTGCACAAAGCTGGAAGAAGGAGGTGGCATACAGCACCTTGCCAGCGGGATCCTGCCCCGACATTGAAGCACCCTCAACGTAACCCACCTGCAAGTTAAGCGCGTATCCAGGATTTTGACACCAGCAATTGCAGCGCTCGTATTCACGAGAGCCTGCATTCTCATCGGTGGCTTTGTGCCCAGCGGGCGATGGCCAAAGCTTCAGCAAATTATTGAGGAGTAACTCAAACTCGTATCGAGCAATGCAGTGCCTGTATATATTGAAAGTACTGTGAGGGTATGTATGCCGTGACGGCCAAGAACCTCGTGTCGGCAGGGCCTCGGTGCATTGAGGTCCTCGGGGACGTTTCGCTGACGCAACCCCCGGGCGCGCGCGTTGATGGGTTCACACGAGATAACCCTGATTCAATTTGAGCCAGGGGCAAGATGGAAACCCCTTCCGACCAAGCCTGTGTCACTTTTGCTTTGAGTGCTGTATATTGGCCTATAAAGGAACACTTTCAATGCCGTGCGGCTCAAGCACACTCGCATTCACTGAGCAAAGCACCTGTCCCTTGGTATGCTGTCCTCAGCCTCTCTGCTTTCTGGTCTGTAGCAGTCGCCTCCTATGCCTCTCCATCTTCTCCCTAACCCGTCGGGCAACATTGGTGGAACTTCCTCCGCTCGAGGATAGGAGGTGGCCAGAGTCCAGTGCTTGGTCGCCGCCAGGATGGGAGGGAGCGATCTCCTTCCAATGCTCTGTGAGAGCTCGTACTGCTGGTGCAGCTTTGACGGCGCCGCTCCAGTCTCCAACTTGACTGCCTGCCGCAACCGACGTGGCGCATCGGGCAGTGCATGGGCCATCGTCCGTTTGGATCTGCGCATCCCGCCTCAGAGGGGTCAGGCAACACTGGACGCCAACATCTGCAGGGTGAGGGTGTTCATGACAGGACGGATTGGACTTCACAAACTTGTAGGAGGAGAAACAAGCAGAACCTTGCTCCATGCTGCAGAAATCCAGGAAGATGTTGTGTTAACATGAATGCTACATACCTCGGGTCCTGCTCACTGCAGTTCGAGATACAACGTCCACAACCGTCGCCATGTCCTCTCGTAGACCCTTCACAAGCTGCGAGGAGGAGCATGGATGGAAGTCAGTGTCAATGGGAGATATACTTGACATGGGACAGAGTGATCTTCAGGGAGAGAAGGGGTGACTTGCGTGTTTCCAGAGATCCAGCGACGTAGATACCAGTCATTGCAAGCCCCTCCATATGTCACAGCCCGGTTCTACAGATCCCAGCGGACCTCTTGCAGGTCAAGTCCCATTTCTTGCAGAGCACCCAGTCCCTCCACAGCTGCACATGTCTGCTCGTTGGCCTTCTGAAAGTCCTTCTCAAGACGCTGCACATGCTCCTGCAGGGAGTTCAGCTGCGCACTGGTGGTATGGTGGGTGGGTACTGTGTGGGCAAAAGGTACTGATTGTGGGAGTGATCAGTCGCTGCCCTGATCGGTGCACATTCTGTATGGTGAAGCAGGCATGGATTTTCCAGGTGCCAGGCGGAGATTGCACACCTGAGGCTCGACGAGAGACCTGTGTCCATGAGCCCAAGATTAGCAGAGGTATTGCCCAATGCCCTTGCGACTGCGGCTGCCAGCCCCTGAAGAAAATGTCAAGTTGAGTTGCAGTCAGGGTGTGCACGCAACACTGACTGCAACCCGAAATGGCAGCAGACATCAGAACCTTGCCGCACAGTACAAGCGAAATTGTCATTGCTACGCTATCCAAAAGTTTGTCGCCAAGGCAAGCACTGATGTCACCTGGGAACCTTGTCGGGTCTGATGGCTGTACTCCTGGGTGTCCGCTCCCATAATGGCGCCAGGGTGATCCATGTCTTGAGATTGCTGCCGTGAGGGTGCATACGATGGAATGATCCTTAGATTTGGTGTAAGGTACACACACTCTAAGAGCACCGAGGCCTAGAGGGGTAGACTCACCGGCATGAGGGACATGGGACCCCCTCCCGTTGGCTGTGAATAGCTGTGGTTCATGCAGCGCAGGTACTTGGCCGCGCTCGAGGGAGCCGGCATCGGCTGCATGGGGATAGAGAGTGACTGGTTCTGACTGTTGAACTTCATGCCAAAAAGTTCATGCGACTCGTCTGCCGCCCCTGTCCCACCTTGCTTGCTGATTCGAGGCCTGTCGACGTGGGAACCGGACCCCAGTCCCTGTCGGGCTGGGAGAGAGGCTGCGACTGGGAGGTAATAGCACCATCTAGACGGGGCCCTCTCATCGGTCGCTGTAGCCATGGTCGCAGAGGACCATCCATGCCTCACTATACGACAAGGCAGGCTAATCAAGTAAGGAGCGGTGACTCGTCGACAACGAAAGAATCACGACCCAGCCGATGGAGGTTTTTGAAGGGCACCAGAACCTGCACCCACTACCAGCACATTGCGGGACACATGTAATGTAATGACTACGTTGCTCGTGCACCCTCCTTGAGCTTTAATCACCTTTTCATGGTTGATTTGCGTATGTGAGGAGTGTTAACTGGGACTGGAAAGGATGGCGTGTACCACCATGCGGCCCAGTATTTAGATGCTCATCAAGACATCTGCACCGTGTTAAACGCATGAGACGGGGACAATTCGACAATGTCACGCAGCGGGGATGGACCTGCTGTATCAGCGCCTGTTATCGACGAGGTATGCGGTCTTGCCACGTCGGGGCCAGGCGTCGCTCGTCAGGTCATCACCAGTCCATACGCACAACTCCGACGCAGAAGGCCATCAGCGCCTCGCTCAATGATGTGCTCCTCGAGGGCATATATGCCGCAATAATGGAGCAGCTTGTACCCCGCTCACAAGCTCTGTCTGAGAGTCTCAAGGGCCTGCAAGCCACATGCTCATCGGTTGACAGAGCAGCAGGTCAGGGGAGATGGTTGGGTGAATCAAGATTATATTCAGAGCGGTGGGAAAGGGAACACCAGCAACTCAGCACACACTCAGCTCCTATCGTCTGCAGCGGAGGATCTTCATGCCACTGAGACAGAAATGCGTCGATTGGCTGGCTTGGTCGAGCAGTGCAGGAAGGAGCTGGATGACGTGCTGTCGAAAAAATGAGACCCCCTCGGAATCAATCTCCGTGCTGCGTTTCCCTCAGTCCGGAACACTCGAATTATATAGCCAGGCATACAACAAACAGTCCGTGAAGCTGAACTTTCATATGTGCCATGTAAACAAAACCCCTTTTGCGTCCAGACGAGGCACATGTCCCTCTCCCAATGCCGACAGCGCTCTTGCGTCCTTATGGGCTTCCTTCGCAGAGTACCTTCTCCACCATGCGCCCCGCACGAGCTGGTCCCTCGATGAGGACCGGGGTTCCCTCATGCACATTACGGACTCCTGCGGCAGGTAGGAAGGGGGCAATGCCCTTGCCAAGTCTCGACCAGCCTTGCCTTGCACCGTCAAAGAATCCATGGCCCCCGGCACATCCCGAGCGCAGGTAGCCAGCCTGTGGACATCCGCTTCGCCATCCCTTTCAAGTGCCACTTCGGCCAGCATTTGGCGGTGATCGGGGGACCCAGGCAGCTGGGGCAGTGGGAGGCCGCTGCAGCACTGCCCATGACCTGGCAACAGGGCGACGTCTGGGCGGCCTCCCTCGCATGGTGCGCCGGCTGTATGGGGCAGACTGCCAGGCAGGGGTTTGACGAAGCGAACAGCTTCAGCCTTGGGAGCGCCATGCTGGTAGCAAACCCCATGCGGGAAGTTGTTGCGTGCGTCGCTCGGGCATTGGAGGAGCAGTTTCATCGCATGAACCGCAAGATTGCCCCCCCTTCCCCATTTTTGGTGCGCCCCGCCATCTCCCTGGATCTGCATCCCCACTCCTGCCATGCACTGACCCGCTCGATTCCTTAGGGATGATGGCGGTACGCTGGAGTACAAGTATGTGGTGCGGAACGACGACCTCACGGTGGCGGGGTGGAAACCAGGGCCAAACTGCGAGCTGCAGCTGCCCACCGGCTCTCCGCTCCGCGCCGTGCGGGTGTGGGACACCTGGGACGGGGGCTGCCAGACGGTGGAGGTGTGCTGTGTGCGGGTGTGGGTGGTGGTAGTGGTGAGGTGAGACGCTGGACCAGTGACATGCTTGACCGCCCCGTGGGGGTGGGCAGCCCGGCACAGGCAGCGCTCAGCCTCGCAAGACTCCCACCCACTGCCCTGCTCACCTCGCTTCCCTTTGCCCCCCTCTCACACAGCTCGAGGTACCCGAGGCAGGCACGTCCAAGCCAGCCCTGCGCAGGCCCAAGGCGAGCGGGGTTTGCCACGTCTGGTGGCGAAGTCCCCGGGCTGGGGAGGGATCCCGCGGCAGCCGCCGACCCCAGCATACCACAGGGCATGGATGGCCCCTTCGCCGGGGCCTTGGGGCCTGTGCACCTCCAATGCCCACCCCTCGCCCTTGCTGAAGGCCATCGCATCAGTACCATACCCCAAACTCACCAACCCCATGTGACAGGGTTCGCTGGGCGTGCTCTCCAAGGAGACCCTGGTGGCGCTGCAGCGGCTGGCCGGCGCGCTGGAGGCCGGGGAGGCGGCGGCCGCCGCCGCCGACCCTGGGTCGCCCGAGGCGCTGAGGGCCGACGCCGAGCTGGCCAGCGCGACGCAGCATGCGCTGGCCATGATGCGCGCTGAGGAGGCGCTGGGCAGGCTGCCGAGGCGCGGGAAAGCGCGGAACGGGCGGGGCCGCGGCCGGGGGGCGGTGTGAACCCGCGCGGCGGTGATTCGGTCTGGCGTACCATTCCGAGGCCCATGAGAACCCAGCTCCAGCCATGGATCTGTCTGGCTGTGCCCGCCTGGCATCAGCCAGGCCTGCCCTTGCGCCATGCACCCTGGCGCCGACCTCGCCGAGGCCGCCAAACCTCTGAGCCCCACCCTGGCATATGGTGATACTGAGTCATTCTACAGGGCTGTCAGACCAGCCGTTCACTCTGGAACACTGCACAAAGGGGGATGAGGAGGGCCCGAGGCATCAGGCGGGGAAAAGCTCTGCATCCTGGGGCCCCAGGACGTCAACTGGGCGGGGGAGGGTCCGCTGTCACATGCCCTCGGTCGCCTCTTGAATCTCTTGCAGGGTGATGGCCTGGTCCTCCCCCCGAAAGTCGTTGTCCTCGGTGAGGAAGAGCATGCAATGGCACTCCTGCGGGTCAGGGCGGGCTGGGCACCGGTGATGCAGGCAGACACACGAAACGCCTGCCCAAGGGCACAGGCCCTGGAAAAATCAGACCCGGCGCATCAAGGGTAGGGATCGGCAGCGGTACAGGCCCTCCCTTGGCCACCCGTCACAAGACGCGACCACCGTTGCACCTTGCGCTCGCGCATCGGCACACACGGACAGTTCCAGAAGCCCTGCGCCACCTCGGCGGCCTTGTCATCGTAGTGCCGGCAGGGGCACAGGGGGGCGCCGTAGTCGGTCTTGTGCTCCGCCAGCCCCTTGATGACCACAGCGGTCACAGACTTGTCAGAACAGAAGTAGGTGCCGGTGCTGTGCGTGCAAAGGGAGGAAACGTTCCCGCAGCCCGAGGGTGGGCGAGCCATGCCGGTAGCAGGTAGAGATGGACGGCATGTAGCATGCAGCCCCCCCGGAGGCCATGACGACGGACCTCGTAGTCAGCATGGCCCCTCCTCCGTCACCTCACCGTCGTGCATACTGTTCTGAGAACTTCCGCATCGCCTCCAGGTTCTTCCCCGGCTTGGCATCGCTCACATCTGTGGTGGTCGACAGTGCGAGGGGAGTGGGACACTGTGCGCCGAGCAACAGATCATGCAGGCTTGGGCATGTCGCTGCATGAGGCGCAGGGGTGCTCACCTGGCTCCGATTGGGCGGCAGCAGCCCTGATGCCGTGGGTGAGAGGGGCCCTGCGCTGCGAGCGGAAGGCCTGCCCGACCTTCACGGGGCAGGGCTTCAGCGAGCAGGGGCTCTTTGTTCCTAAACTGGCGACGTTCATGATGCAAAAATTCAGTCTGTAGAGCACTTGTATGGCGTGGGTGTCTACGTTATGGACAAGCCAACCTCCTCAACCGATGTTGTGGCTTGTGCGCGCTAGAAAGCGGGGTTGATTTTCGATGAACATAGACGAGGGAGAATGCACGCTCTAAGAGCGTGGACGCAAGAGCTATGACGCTTTGCTTTTCCAATGCTGATTCCAATTCCGGGGGTGTAGACCTTGTCTGATAGGAGTGGCATCCTAGGTAGACCTGGATGTTGTTCGTGAGATAGATGATGGGCAACCAGCAGGAATGGCTTCTGGAGCCGCAGACGCCTGATTTGCCACCAGGCTGGGGCCTGAAAGCGACTCGAGGGATTAAGGCCTTGTCAACAGACGGTACATGAAACTCCCAAAGTGGTTGCATGAGCATGAGGCACCTTCTTCAAAGCTTGGAAAGGGGACACATTCTCCGGGGCACATGAGAGGCTTTTAGGTTATATGAAACGTTGCAAAGCCAAAGTTTGGAGCTAGTGAATGATGATTTACACCAGCATCGAAATTCGCCCCACGAAGAGAAGATTCGCGTAATCAATGCGATCCGGGCCGATTCTCCTCCTTGCGACGTGCCCCACGGTCTGATACAGAGGGTCACCCCGCGGGACCCCGTTGTTTTTTTGGAAGTACCTTTCCGGGCCCCATAAAGTTTCAAAGTATAAATAATGGACACGCATAGTCCTTGGCAAGGTATAAACAGCACTTCATACCCAAGCAATGCTGCGTTGGAGAGCCTGGAGCAGGCCCTCTCGGGAATGCCGTCCGTGGGCGCAGACAGCATAGAAACGCTGCTGTCCATGCGGTCCTCTTTGGAGGGCCCCCCCTCTCCCCAGTTCCACCTGCCAACTTCCTACCCAGGTGTGCAGTGGTGCGCTGCGGGCCTGCATGGTGGAACCTCGCTCCAGGAATTACGTCGGCTGACCCCCCAATTACGGACCCCATGACAGGCCTGCAAACCCACGCCTCGCCGTCCTTGACTGCCCCCGACCACCTCGAAACCTATTCTTGTCCCAATCTAAACTCGTTCCTGGAAGTCGGGCCCCTGTACTCGAGCCTGGGCAGCATTTCCGGGGCCGGAGGCCAGGCGCTGGATGGGCTGCAGGCCCCGTCAGCAACTCCTAGCTGGAATGACACCCAGGGCCAGGTCCTCGCCCAGGCACTCCGCAACATACTCCTTCTCAAGAACTGGAGTCTTAATACGTCTGGAAGTGAGGTGACTGCCGCCCCCCATCCGCCCTCCAGACAAGTGAGGTTGCGGGAGCGGAACTCTGCTGGTGAGCCTGGCCTCCACAGGCATGCATTGCGGCCCCCGTGCCATCTCACCGCCCTTTCCCCCTTCTTTTTCTCATCGAGCCAGGTTGCCACCTTGCAGCCTAGCGCCGCAGCGCCCAGTCCGGGCACGGGTCGTTCCAGCCCCCGTGGGGCACCACACGCCTCAGCCGAGAAGATCCAGCGCACCGTTTACGTCTCCGACCTGTCCCAGGACCTGACGGAGGCCGCCATCTCCGCCGCGTTCCTGTCCTGCGGTTCCATCGTGGACTGCCGCATCTGCGGCGACACCCAGGGGCCCCTCCGCTTCGCATTCATCGAGTTCTGCAGCGTGGAGGCTGCCCAGAAGGTGCGAGGGTGTGTTCGGTGTAGGGGCCAGGGGCATGCAGGCTGCTGTGCACCGCTTGCGCCCGGCCAGACCTGGGATGGCTCGATCCGCCGCTGTGCCTTTCCATTCACCATGCCCGCCTCAACTGCCCTCTGCAGGCGGTGAGCCGGAGCGGGCAGCTAGTGGGGAACTGCATCGTCCGTGTCAGCCCGAGCAAGACTGCTATCGTGCCCGTCAGCAACACATACCTGTGCGTGGTCAGGAGGGACTTGGAATCAAGTTTGGGATATGATGTGGTCACTCACAAGTGCCTGGAGGATGTGCCGTCCTCGTCCCAGGTGCACACATTTATATCTGCCCGTCTCCCTGTCACATGCTCATTCCATGATTCTCTCCCCGCCGGTGCAGACCCCGCTCGAGCAGCGAATGGGAGCAAGTGGCGCGCACTGTGTATGTGACCAACGTTGATCGCCGGCTGGAGAGGGAGGCGCTCCGGACTTTTTTCTCCGAGGCATGTGGTGAGTAGCGGGCTGTCAGAGTGGCTGGGCTGTCGAAGGGGGAGAGGGGTGGTCTCCTTGTTCTAGGGCATAGTGAAGGTCCTGGGACCATGACATCTCCATGCCCTGTAGTCAACCATGTCCACGGATGCCTCGTATTGTCACCCTGACTCTTCCCCCCCCTCCGTCCTTCGTCCACTGCGCGCTCAGGCCCGGTGAGCCGCCTCCGCCTGCTGGGGGATGGGCACCACGCCACCAAGATCGCTTTTGTCGAGTTCTTCTCGCGCTCCAGTGCGCACCAGGCCCTGACCTGCTCGGGCACCATGTTGGGTGAGTGTCGGCGCCGGTTGGTGCATCTGCGTGGCATGGGCATCGAGCACAGATGTGCGGTCGGGTTTGGTACACCTGCCGCAGCTCTTGTGCTGCCCAGTACTTGTCGCTTTGCATCCGGGACCAAAGGCAGGTCGACCCGCAAACCTTCACCCCCTCCCACTCCGACCCCCTCCCCAGGCGGCTCCCCCCTGCGAGTCTCGCCCTCCAAAACCCCGCTGCGCACCGGCAGCGGCAGTTCCAGATCCGGCAGATCGTCGCTGTCTTGATTACTTCCCCGGCCCCCCCTTGGGACCCTATTGCACACTGGGGGACACTTTGTCCACCCATGTTGCTCCCAAGTACTCCCTTTGCAGGACAGTTCCTGCCCTGCGGCTCTTCCAGGGCGCCCCCACCCTGGCAGCTTGCCACAGGCCAAATCCGCCCCGTGCTGCCTTTTACTGCTTGCCGTTGGGAATAAGACCAGACCATGATGGCCCGGCCAGCATGCCCACCCTACCATATGGCAACCGCATTCCAGGGCATTCTCTTAGATTGATGCCCACTTCGCTCTTACGAGGTGCGTCTCGCTGCCCCTGGTGCACAGGCGGCACCTGTTGAACCCAAATCCCCTCCGTAACCAGTGTTCCCAGGCCCCCCAAAAACGTTTATCCATATACTAGTACCACGCTCTGAATATCGATGTTTGAACCACCGCCATGCCTGGTCCAGGGCTATTTGAGCCCCTGTCCGTCCTTTCGTTCCCTTCCACCTGTCCCACTACAACCCCCTGCACTGGTCCAGGACTGCGAACACCTCTTTTATGTTTGGAGCATTCCCCCGCCCTCCCCTTGAACTCCTGTTGGTCGAGGTGCTTTTGTTGTGTCTCTTTTTGCTGGCACCCACAGGCGGAGCACATCCCCTGTGGGCTGGCCCGTATCACCGAACCGGACTCGGTCTCTTCTGTCGAGGGCGCAATAACTTAACGTGGTAATATGGAGCGAGATTGGCAGGATGACAGAGAAATAGTTCACCCTGTTGGGGTCGTACGAGTGGAGGGCAGGGCCAGGGCATGCTGCCATCAAGGCCCGGGAGTACCCTCCAGGGCTGGCCGCCGCAAGTTGACACCGCCCTCTCCCTTGGTCAGCAGCGCACAGATTGCGGCGGTCCAGGGTCTAAAGGGTGGCAGGTCCACGGCCCAATGCCCCGGCCTCACGATCCTGGTGAGGTTCTGGCAGCCCCGCAGGCTGCACGGGTTGGGTGGGAGTGATGAGCAGGGGTGGCGGAGGCAGTTGTCGCAGGGACTCCCTGAGCTTGCTGTGCCGCAATGACGGGACCCTTTTGTAGAGGCGCCCCGCAACAAAAGTGTACCTGTTGGTGAGGAAGGCCTCTCTCCAGGCACTGCGATGTGAGGGATCTGGGGGCTGCTCCAACACGGTCAGGCCGCATGCCGCCGCCGCGCGGAGGGCCGCCCGCCGCGCCGTCCCGGCCAGCACGCCATCCTTTTCGCCGGCGGTCTGGAGTGTGTAGTCCGACGCCCGCTGCGAGGCGGTGGCTGGGCCTGCACCGTTGGCAGCGGCGGGAAAGAGCCCGGCATGTGTGAGCCAACTTGCCACCCTGCAGCATGGGGGTCATCAGACCGCCCACGCCAATCCTTCTGTATGACCCAGTCCACCCTGCAGCCACACCCAGACGCCCCCTCCTCGGCCTTCCAGACTCACATCTGCCCGCGCGGCCCCACCCCCGGCCCCGGTGCCACCCACCGCTGATGACAAAGAAATTAGTCACCAAGCCCTCCAGCAGGCCGCCGGCCGCGTCGGCCAGCAGGACCTCGACCACGCCAGGCCGCCTGAGGCCCTCCAGCGGCGCGCGCTCCCGGACCCAGGCCGAGTCCTTGGCCAGGGGCAGCGCGCGCCCCGGCCCCAGCACCGCCGCCCAGCCGGGCGGGACCGTGCAGTACGGGTCGGCCACCAGCGGCTGGGCCACGGCGTGCACCTGGAGCGGCGCGCCGGGGCAGGCCAGCAGCACGAGGCAGGCGGGGCCGCCCGGGGCAGGCAGGGCCCTCAGGGCTGAATGGGCCGTCAGGAGGAGCAGGTCGGCGAGGGTGTTTCCTTTCTCGCTTTCCATTCCCTGTGGTGAGGTGGACGGGCTCGTGGGCGCCCAAGGATCAACGACCAGCCGGGAGGAAGCGTGACGGCGCGGCGCCGCAGTGGCCCTGCCCGGCTCCCGTCTGGCTCCCAGTGTCCGTACACCCCACCGCCACTCACGTGCCAGGCGCCGTAGTCCACCAGGCCAGCCTCGTGCAGCAGCCCGATGGACTGCTCCAGGCGCGCCACATGCTGCGCCCAGTCGACGGCGAAGAAGGGGCGGGGCAGGCGCAGCGCGGTGTAGGCCCCGCGCGGCGCCTGGGCCAGGTAGCTGGAGGGCGTGGGTGGGTCCAGGGCGAGCAACCTGCCATCCATGGCCACCACACAGCCTGGGGACATTTTGTGTTTTGGGGGAGGAGCCCCCAATTGCCCAGGAGAGCTTTCTCCAAATGAAGAGGGATTACCTCCGCATCTCAGCTACCGTCAGGTGGCCATCGACGGGAGTCAGTACGCTGCCCGAGTGCTTGAGCAGCGCGTGCGTCAATGGGTTCAGTACGGTTTCTCCGAGAGTCACTTTCGGCGCACACCTTGGCAGCCGATCTGATCGCAGGTCGAGGGATTTCTACGTATTCCTATGATTACATACTCCCTCAAGGTCCTTTGCATGAGCATAGGGTGGTGCGATGGTGGATGATTCCTGGGTCCCCCGGCCGGGAGCCTTCCGACATCGTCTGGGCGCTCCAGCTTTCCCCATCAGATCCCCCCTTTCATCGACACCGTCCACCTCTCGGCTCCTTACTGTCTCTCCCGCCTGGCAACGATACAGTTCACAGCATTCGTTTCAGAATGAAAGCTTGCAAGCACCCGGTGCACCCAGGTCACACCCGCAACAGGCGCAGGAAAACCGACGGCGCGGCGACTCTGACTCGCAGGTCTGCGATGTCGATGTCGTGCCCGCCCTCCACCAGGCCCCACTGCGCGATCTGCGCGCTCTCCTCCAGCCTGGCCACCGCCAGCGCGTCGGGGACGCCCACCTCCCCCTCCACCACCGCGCAGGCGAGGAGCACCGAGCGGCAGCACGCCGCCAGGTGCTCCAGCGCGGTCAGGTGCCAGCGGTCCAGCGATTCCAGGTAGGCCTGTGCCGCGGCCAGGTCAGCGTCCGGCAGGGCCGCGCCGAAGATGGAGTCGGAGGGGCGCAGGGCCGCACCCAGCCGTGCCCGCGCCCAGCCCAGGATCGGCTCGTAGGTCTCGGCCTGCAGCACGGCCAGGCGGCCCGGCGCCTCGCGGCACAGCAGGCTGTCGGTGTGCAGGTAGTGGATCAGGGTGTCAACGACGACGGCGCGGCCGCGTGGGGCATCGATGGCCGTGGCGGCCAGGGTCATGAGCGGCATCGTGTGCGGCTGCACCCGCTGTACCTGTCGCAGTGGGAGGGGCAAGGGGGCGAGGTGGAGGGGGTAGGTGTCATGTGGTACGAGGCGCCGGCTGCGCTGCAGACGCGTGCGCGTGTGACTGCTCGTCGGCGCTCGCAGTAATCCACTCACCTGGCACTCCCACTCGGCGGCGATGGCGTGCGCCAGTGCCTCGCTCGGCACCGTCAGGGGCTTCTGGGCCGGGGTGCGAAGGACTCGGGAGTCCAGCGTCACATGGTACCCCTGCAAGATTGAGCGGTTGAAGGGGGGAGGCGGGTGGGCAATTGTGAGTAGGATACAAGGGGGCACACTCCTGCTCCCCAGCCGCAGGCCAGCAGCTGGAACCCCCGGCGCCAGCCCACCTGGCCTTGGTCCTCTGGTCTCACGCCCACGTGCTTGTAGAATCTGCCGATGCTGGTCTCACGGGGGGAAGAGGAAGACACGGAGTGGGTGGCCGACCCCCGTCGTGCGTCCCCCGGGAGACTCAGGGTCTGCACAGGCGCCACGCAGGCCTCCACTGCCGAGACCAGGCGCCCTGCGCTCCGGCGCAGCACGCCAGTCATCGTTGTGCCCGATGATGAGCCTATTGATACGTCCTTGTGCTCTGGAGAAGGAGTCCTGGCTCGTGCTTCCTTGCAGGGTGAGTGCCGTGGCTGGTGAGCGATCTCGGGAAGGGAAACCCCACTGCTTTGCGTGCGCTGCGGTGGGTCCACCAGTTCATCACCGGAATCAGGAGACGCGCACGAGCCACCATGTAACACCTGTATCCAAGCATGATGGGCAAACCTGATTCTTCAGATATTTAATAGGCCTCTTGATGCTCCATGACGTGCTCGATTGTCAGCGCAGGCGCAAATTCACTCGTGGGGTTGCATGAACGACCAGGCTGCCCCCCACGCCATGCGGCGTGGCACGGTACCCGTCAGCTTACAGTACTGAAAACTGGACGCCACAGAAACACATTACCACGCTATGCTGAGCCCGAAAGTGTATCAGCTGCCTCCCGGGACAGCACCCCAGCATCATCGGCAAGCACCACCCCTCCCACCCAGGAGGGTGTTCGCCCCGACTCACTCCCCGCCCCGGACACGTCGCTGGGGAAGAAGCTGGCAGGAGGAGCCCTGGTGGGCACCCTGGCGGTCTTTCTGGCCGCACGAGGTCTGACGGGACCCACATCCCTGGAGCAGCTCAAATCTGATGCTGTGGATCTGGACATTGCCCTGACAAATGGCAAGCCCACGCTCATCGAGTTCTATGCCGACTGGTGCAAGGTGTGTGCGCATGCGGATTGTTTATTGTATGTTTGGGGAGAGAATGGTGGCCGAACTGGTATGTGCATGTGTGTGTAGTCCAACAGCATGTTGCACAACGTGATTGTGTCTTCAAGTCAGACTTCTATGCGCATCAAGCCTGTTTAGATCCTCTTGGCCATCTTTGCACAGCTTTGCTGACTGTCTGGAAGGCTTGGCGCTTGCATGCATGCGTCCTCAATGCCAGCGCTTCATGCAGTGGGGAGCACCAAGATTCACCCCATTCTCCACCCCATCCCTGCCCCCCTCTCAGGTCTGCCAGGAGATGGCCCCTGTTCTGACAGATGCCATGGACTCCGCCGCCTCTACGGCCCCCACCCGTCCCCCCGGGGTCAACCTGGTCATGCTCAACATCGACAACTCGCGCTGGACGCAGGAGCGCCGGCAGTACCACGTGCGCGGCGTCCCGCAGTACCAGTTTCTGGATGGCCAGGGCCGCGCCAAGGGCGCGCTGATCGGCAAGATCCCGGGGCTCGCCCTGGTCGCTGACCTGGAGGCGCTGAAGGCGGGGGAGGAGCTGCCCTTTCTGAGCGCGGCTGGGGATGCCGCCGATCTGGACAGTGTGGCCCCCAGTGCCGGGGTGTCGCCGCTCCCGCCCGCCGCGCCCGCCCCCAGCGCATTGCCACGGGACCATTCCTGAGGATATTGCGGGGCAGCATGGGGCCGGAGGCCCTGCCCCGTGAAGTTTTGTCTCTACTGATACATCTGCATCGCTTCACCTCGATGCCCATACCAGCCTGATACATCACCGCCATTCTTTGACAATGTACATGGGGGCGAATTGGAACACAGTGCTTGGGGTACTCCAGGCACAGGGTGAGGCACGTGGGAGCTGGAGCGACGGATGGGAGTGTGGCAACGCTTACGCCAGGCATGAAGCAGGTGACAGAAAATCTCAACCCAAGCTCACGCGCCCGTCGCTCCCCTGACAGAGTCGCCTGGAACCTGCGATCGCGCCGGCCACGGCTGCGGCCACGTCGGCGCCCTTGCAATCCACCCCCGCCGCCGCTGCCACCGCCTTGACCAGCTTGCTCAGCCGCATGCTGGGCTTGCCGCACCCCTGCAGCACCTGCAGCGTCAGCTTCTTCCACTTGACCGTACGCGGGGCCACGGGCGGCCTGCCGTCGGCCTGGCGCGGCGCAGGGTGTGCGTCCGTCGGCGTCGAGGGATTCCGCGCTGCCGCGGGGCCCCCTCGCCCCTCTCCCGTGCCGCCGGTCGGATCCGCTGGCCGCCGTCCAGGCGGCATGACGATGGTCACGCCCTGCAGCTCCTCCTCAGCCTCCCCTTCCAGCGCCAGCTCAGCCTCCTCCTCCCCCTCGTCCTCGCTGTCCAGCCGGGTCTTGGTCCCCGCCCAGCGCGTCCCCGCCACCTTCTTGGGAGCGCCGGCACGGCCCAGTCCCACCCGCCCCTGCGTCGCGCCGTCGTGTGTGCGCGTGAACAGCGCCTCCTGGTCCCCCTCGCTGAAGTTGTGCACGGCGATGGCGCCCGGGCGGGGGCTCGCGCGCCGCGCGGCGCTGCCCAGCCGCCCCGACCGCTCAAAGTAGCCCGCCCACCACGCGCCGGGGTCGGTGCGGGGGAGCGCAGGGGTGGGCGGGGCTGCCGGGCGGGGCCGTGCGCTGGCGTCTGGCCGTGAGACCTGGGGAGCGGGCGCAGCGTCTGCGCTCCGCGCGGCCGAGGGCCACTCGACCTCGGGCCGCGCCTGCGCGGCCGCCAGCGCCGCAAAGGGGTCCACCCCCCCGAGGATGGCCTGCAGGCTGCCAGAGGTGTACTGCCGGACGTCCTTGGCCGACTCCCGCCGCTTGAACCGTCCCTGATGCGAGACGGACTTGGGGGCGGGCTTGGGTGGGGCGGGCTTGGGTGGGGCGGGTTTCGCGGGCGCGGGCGTCGCCTCGGCGGCCGGGGCCTCCTCCGCATCGCTCTCGCTGCCGCTGCCGTCGCTGCTGTCGCCAGAGGTCGCGTGCTGGGAGGTGACCTCCGACAGGTTACTCAGCACCCGGTGGAAGTCCAGCATGCCCGCGCTCCAGTCACGCGCCCTGTCCGCGCTTTCCACCTGACGCAGGAGCCGGCGCGTGGTTTGGTCAGGGCACGGAGAAGCTTTCCAGGACAGCGCTGGAGCATGCCGAGGTATGGGGCCAATGCCCGCGACTCCCCCTGCTCAACCTCATTCTGACACAGCACTGCGCAGAGTCACGTATCATTCAAGGACCCATGTATGAACCCACCTGCCCTCCACCCTCCTCCCACGCCGCCCTGCTCACCGCGCCGACGCCCCAGTTCTCAAACTTCTTCTTTACTCGGATGTGTTCCTTGATGCCCTGCCCCGTAGCCCCCAGGCCGTCGCCCTCTTTCCAACCCATGGAGGAGAGCAGCTTGTACCCCGCCGACTCCTTCTGGACTCCCTGGTACCTCTGCACCGGGGCAAGCAAGGCCGATGCCATGGCGCAAGAGGTCCCGTGCGAGGGTGGGGCCTGGGCGCCAGCCGCAAAGTGTTAGTGGCGAGCAGACGGCCAGATACTCCCGTCGCGACAAGTGGGATATCCGATTTATCGTGTTCTTTTTCAATCACGATGCCCACCAGCCGTAGTTTGGTATACGTAGTGGACTTGCGGTCACGGTGCCAGGGCGTGGCGCGCGGTCGACTTCCCGCGCCCTCGCTCGCTCCCGGCCCACGCCCACGGGCCCTCATTGGCGAGCTTTCGCCTCTGGCTGCGTGATGTCAAGCGAACAAGATCACTCCATCACCCCTGTGACGCCGGAAAGCGTTCTTTAGTTCTGCTACACCGCCCCGTCCTCGATAAAGTCATCGAATAAAGCCTTGCTGGAGATCACTTATACGGTATCTTGCGCAGTGGGGCCAAGGCCTTGGCGCTTTTTGAAATTAGTACGATGAAGATGCACTGACTGCAGTGGTCACGCCCTACGAAATCCAACCTTCAGTCATGGGTCTCCTTCAGCTGCTGGCCAGCCTGACGCTGGTCGCTGGGCTGGTGGGCACTTGCCATGCGTACTCCTTGGGCGACTTTGTGCCTACAGCCCGGCGGGGCCAGTTCCAGACGGTAGGGGTATTGTATAGTCCTGGGATCAAGGGTAGCAGCCTGTACAGAGTCGATACAGGGATGCCCAAGACCCTGTGTTACACAATGTGTCTCGCTTGGGTCAGGTCCATCCTGATTTTCACGCCGTCCATCCCCCCCCCCCTTTGCATACAATTCACCCATGCTATCTGCTGCACCAAATTGCAGCAAAGAACGCAGTGGCATGATGTGCACGGGCAGCACTGCCCCAAGTTTGGCCACGACCAGCTGGTGAGTTTGGCAACCACGCCCCCGGAACGTGTCGCTGGGCGCACCGAACAAAGCCTTGTTCATAGGCCCAGTGAGCTTTCTTACGGCATTCCCTCTCCTCTACCCCGTCCAGGTGTCCCTTCCCATACCAAAGCCCCAAGCGTTCCGCCCCGGGGACAACTACAAGATCCAGTTCAGCTTCGCAGGTCTGTGGATTTGTGGGCTCTGGCTGGGGATTGGCCTGGAGGGGGCCGTCCCGAGACTGGAGCGCATCATGATCTGTACCAAGACCGCGACCCCGGTTTGGCTGCACTTGCTCAGTTCTTCCCCCCCCTCAAACCTCACCACCGCCCCTCCCCCCCCAACCCCCATCGCTGCAGGCGACCAGTTTGTCACCCCCTGGCTGCTGGTCATGGGGCGCTACCTGTCCCTCGTCTCCTACCTGGACGTGGAGCTGACGCACACGGGCGGTGAGCTGCGGAGCGTGCGGGCCGCGGTCTACGACCTGCCCCACCGCGATGCCGCGGCCCACCCGCTCCTGGTGTCCCAGTGGGCCAACGCCAGCCACTGGCCCAAGCCACTGCTGGTGCAGTACCGCTGGGTGGCTGGGGCGGAGGTGCGGGGCGACCACGCGCTGCTCCTCCTCTTCGCCGCCGCGGCCGCGCTGCTGGGCCTGGTGCTGAGCAACGCGTACCGCTCGTACCGTCGCCACCTGGCGGCCTTCGTCGTGGCCGTGGCCGCGCCCACGCAGCCCAAGGCGGACTGAGGGGGCGGCGGAGGCGGGGGGCGGTGTGGGGTGCATCCAACCAGACATGGCAGTGGAGGAGTCCCGATGACCATGCAGCCACTCCCGCAAGAGCACCAGGAGTGTGCTGCATGGGAGACTGTGCAGCAGGTCGACCGTGGTGGATGCGAGGCCTCCTTGCACTGTTGCGCGTCCTGCGTTCGCCCTTGTTCCGAGTCGTGTAGGCTCCTTTCCCTCCTGGCCAAACCCAACCGTGTGTGGCTCAACATCCCAGAGAGGGTAGTGCAGCACATTGGGGGTTTGGACACCTCAACTTGTATGAAACTCGTGACAGAGCACAAAATCGTAGAGCCACCTGCGCGTCATCCCCAGCATCGGGCTCAGGCCGCGGCCTGGGGTGGCGTGGTCGGCGCCAGCTCCATCTGCTCCTCAACCAAACTGCTCGCCACCGACGCAGCGCCGCCTTTCCTCTTCCTCCGCGCCCGGCCTCCCTTCCCGGTGCTGGCATCGCTGCCGTCCATGCCAACGACCCTCGCACAGGCATCTGGGCCGGCATCGACTTCTTCTGCGACTTCGCTTCCCCGCGCCAGCAGGACCTCCTCCGCCCGTGTGGTTCCAGGCACCCTTCCCCTGTACCGCGCCAGCTCGGAGATGAAGAGCGTGTTGTGCGCCCAGCCGGCGTGGGCGCCAAAGCGCGCGACAAAGGCTGCCTGCACCTGCGCGTGCAGCGCCGGCGTCAGCGCCTTGCCACGCAGGGCGGGGAGGTAGTGCCGCGTGGCCAGCGCCAGCACGTGCACGTCCACGGGCACCAGCGCGTGCGCGTCCAGGGAGAAGAGCGCGGCGCAGGCGGCCACCTTGGGCCCCACGCCGGGCAGCGTGCACAGCGCGGCCACCGCCACGTCGGGCGGGCCGGCGCGCAACGTGGCGAGCCAGGCCTCGCCGCCCAGGGCCCGCAGCCGGGCGACGCTGCCGGTGACGAAGCGCGCGCGGTAGCCAAACCCCGCGGCGCGCAGGTCGGCCTCGCTGACCGCTGCCAGCTGGTCCAGGGTGGGGAAGGCGTGGTGGGCGGGGCCGCCATACTCGTCGCTGCGTGTCAGTGGCAGGCGGGTGCCCCAGCCGCTGCACAGCCGCTCCACCATGCCGTGGATGCGGGAGATGTGGTTGTTGCTACTGCACAGGAACTGGAACAGCGTCTCCGTGGGGTCCTGGCGCAGCATGCGGGCGCCTGGAGCTCAGGTGGGTTGGTGGGAAGGGAGGAAGCGTGAGCTTGCACAGGAGTTGATTCTGAGACGGTGGATACAATTAAGTCTTTGGTCCATGCAGAGGGACAAGGATATCTGGATCAGGTACAGCATCGGGGTCTCCTTGGGACACGAGGTAGCATCGGATCTCAACCCGACGACTGGATCTCTCACCCATCAACAACGCAGCATCTGCCCTGCCTGCACCGCCTGCACCTTGGAAGTAGGGCTGGATGCGGGCAAAATGGTCGCAGGAGGCCGACCACGTGCGCACCAGGTCGGCCAGCGGGGTGGATAGGTTGAAGTAGTCGGCCAGGACGGCAGTGTCCTCGGCCTCGGCAGCCTGGGGAGCCCGTCCGATGATCCGCCAGGCCACGTCGTCCTCCAGCTGGCGGATTTGCACCTATGGAGAGTGAAGGCTCGGGTTTATTGGCATGAGCAATCATGCATCGCGCTCCTATGATCCTCGTCTTGGGCAGAGGAATCGTACCCATGCAATCCCGGCCCCCTCCCTCCCTCAACCGCCCTCAACTCACCACCCGCTGGCCGATGACACCGATGTACTCATCGTCTCCTGTCTCTCTCCATCTGAAGGACTGCCCAGTGGGCAAGGTGTGTTCCAGGCGGAGTTCCTCGCGGGGAGTGCCCAGCAAGTGCCAGCCCGCGCAGTCGGTGGCCATGCCGGCTGAGCAGACCCGGTTAGGGAGGGAGCCTGGCCTTACTGGACGAGAGCCATGCTTGATAAGATGGTATTCACGACAACTGGGTCTCGCGTTGATGGTCGAGTTGAGGAGCGGCCGAGCGGTACTCCTCAGCATACAGACCTGGCGCGTGATCACGAGTGCCCTCAGACAGCACCACTCCAAGCACAGGACATGACGCTAACAACTTTTTCAAATATGTTCCGATTTCAAGATACTGCTACTTGGCGTCACTGATGTGTGCATCGTTTGGCATCGTTCTGTGCGAGCTTTTAATTTCGGACTCAGATTTCATGCTGTGGGTGGCGCGCCACCCCGATGTATCTAGTGGTGAAGGTCAAGTGATTGATGAGGTTCGTTTGCACGTACTCATTCCAGCACGATCAAGAATCAAAACCCCAAAGGCATGGTCATGAACTCCCACCCACGCCGTCCCAGTAGGGCGATGAGGTCGTAGAGCAGTTGCACACCCCCTCGCTTGCCCAGCTTTGCAGACATGCGGCGGGCTCTGATCGCGCTTGCGATCATGCTCACTCTAATCAATCCATCGGCGCATGCCCTGCTGGAATCTCAGGCCTCCAAGTACTCCTGGCTGCTCCAGAACGTTGGCACGGTGACCGATGCCGACCTCGGCCAGCACCTGATCACCCTGTCTGAGCAGGGCGTGCTGGCCAGCCTGAGCCCCGGCGATGGTAGATTGCTTTGGCGAAAGGTGCTGAGCCCAGGTGCCCGGCTCGTGTCGGGGCCCGGGGTGGCCGTCGCCATCGAGCCTGCCAGGGTGCTGGCCTTCGCTGCCACCAATGGGGCCCTGCTCTGGGAGCGCCCCGCCGTCGAGGCAGACGTGGCCTTCACTGCCAATGGGCGCCTCGTGCTGACAGCTCAGGACGCCGTCCATGTGCGCTGCGTTCTCTGGGGATTGTAGACGTCTTGCACGTTGTGTGATAGGATGATGGCGTTCCCACTGGACTCATCTCCGCCCAACAAGTCATTCACTTGCACAAGTCATCCCTCTCAGATCCCCTCCTTCTCGTCAATCAGGTGCTGGCGGCCTCCAACGGCGTGGTGGTGGCCAGCAGCAAGGTCCATGTGGATGGGGAGGAGCCCAGCGAGGCGCGGCCCAGCGTGCACAGCGCCGGCGCCGATGCTGCCACCGCCCTGCTCGCCATCTGGGCGCCCATTCGCCGCGCGCTGGTGGTACTGCAGCTGGACAGCTCCAGCGGCGCGCTGACTCAGATTGCCAGCCACGCGCTTCCTGCCAAGGTGCAGGTCGACTTGGACCCCGCCGCGGTCGCCTTCCTGGCGGGGTCGCGGCTGCTGGCCGTCACCGCCGACGGCAGCACGCTCTGCCACGCCGAGACCCAAGGTGGGCAACGCATCGGTGCGGAGCACTGTGGAGAAGTGGGTTGTGGCATGCAGGCGCAGCACATGTGGCAGCGATCTGCAGCATGATCTTTCGACAAGCTTGTTATGCCAGCCTGGCATGCAGAATCACCATGTCAGAATGGAGACCAGGTCGTCGCGTTCCCACCTGGCACCGCGCCTGGCACGTGCCGGCCCGTCAGAGGGTGCAGCGCCATACACCCTCCCGACTCCCCTCTCTGAAATCGCACCCTGTTGCAGGCGATGCCCCGCTCAGCTGTGAGGCCCAGCGCACCGCCGACGCCCGGCCCCTGTCCGGCTTCCGCCTGCTCAAGGTGCGGCCCTGCGGCGCATACCCCGCCCTCCCCGTCCAGACGCCCGACGGCCTGGCCCTGTTTGCATACCAACGTGGCGCACTGGGTGCCATAGCATTTGTCCCCGGCGGCGTCGGCGCCGCCTGCGCGCTCGACGCTGCGGGGCAGGCGAGCGCCGCCGTGCTCGTGGAGGGGGACCCGCTTTCAGGCCCGGGCGCCGCACGCGTGGACTTTCTGAACCCCGCCGATGGCGGCGTGCTGCGCTCGCGGCCGCTGGCTGGGGCGCCCGGGCCCGGCGTCGCCCGCGCCTTTGCCGGCCCCGCCGACGCTGTCCTCGCCGTGGGCGCCGACGCGACGCTGGCCTTCCATGCGTCCGCCGCGCCCCGCGCCGCCTGGACCAGAGAAGAAGGCGTGGCGTCCTCCGTGGACGCGCTGTTCGTGCCCCTGCCCCCGCCCACCGCGGAGCACGAGGCCGCCTGGCTGGCGGCGAGGCCCGGCACCCTGCAGGCCCTGCGCGCCCAGCTCCTCCTGCTCAAGGCCCAGGCCGGGTTCGGCAGCGCGGAGGAGGCGGCGGAGGTGGCGGCCTTCCAGCACGCCACCGACGACCGCCTGCGCCCCTTCCGCGACGCCGACGGCTTCAGGAAGCAGATCCTGGTCCTGACCGAGCACGGGTGGGGGAGGGAGGGGGGGAGAGGGTTTGGTGGGCGGTTGGGGGTCCAAGGAGTCTGCACGGCTACCGGGGGAAGGGGTGGGGATGTCGAGACTCATCGCTCCATGATGCCACTTTGTCTTAGCACCACAGCACCCGCCTCTTGACCGCACGGTCTCGCATGACGACGCTTGTTCCATGAGCACCACTTCAACCCCCTCCCCACCCCCTCCAACCGCAACTGCATACACACGCTCACGCAGGCAAACTGGTGTCCCTGCACAGCAGCGACGGGCACGTGCTATGGACCCTGACCCTGCCTCGTTCCGGCGCCCTGACCTTCCGCCGCGTGCTGATGTGGCGCGAGCCTCACACGCTCCACGGCGAGCTGGAGGTGGTGGTGCTGGCAGAGGGCGCGTCCGGGGGCGCCGCATGCGTCGTGGACGCGTACTCCGGGCGGCTGGCGGCCACGCTGCCGCTGCCCGGCGGCATGCGCTCCTGGGCGCCGCTGCCCGCGCCGGTGGCGGAGGCCGACGCCTCGAGCTTCGTGTACCTGGGCGTGCCGCTGGACCCCGCGGCCCCCGCGCCCGTGCTGCCCGACACCCCCGCCGCGCACGCGGCGGCGGCGGCGGCGGCGGCCGACACTCTGGGCGTGCTGGCGCGCGACGCGACGGGCCTGCGCGGCCTCGGCCTGGGAAAGGACGGCGCGCTGGAGGCGCGGTGGGCGGCGCCGCTGGCCGGCCCCGGGCGCGAGGTGCTGGCGGTGGCGCGCTCGGCCTCCCGCCCCAACGCCCCCGGCCCCTTTGCCAAGGCCTTTGGCGGCGTGGACGTGCGGTACCGCTACCTGAACCCCAGCCTGACGCTGGTGGCCACCGGCGCCAGCGCCGGGACCGGCCCGGGGGCCGACGGGTCTGTGCCCCCGCTGACCGTGCACCTGCTAGACGGCGTAACCGGGCGAACTCTCTGGTCCGCGAGTCACGAGGGCGGCCGCGGCCCCGTGCGCGCCGTGGTGGCCGACAACTGGGCGGCCTATCACTTCTGGTCGGCCGCCGCGGGGCGCTGGCAGGTGGGCGTGGTGGAGCTGTACGAGGCCGGGGAGCGACGGGTCAGCGTGGCCCAGCTGGCGCTGGCCGGCCCGCCCAACTCCACGCTGCCCGCCAGGCGCCCGCCAGCGCTGGAGGCGTACGCCGCGAGCTATCACACCAAGCTGGCGGCGGCGGCGCTGGGCGTCACTCGCACGGCGCACGGCACCACCGCGCCGCAGCTGCTGCTGGGCACGACGGGGGGGCAGGTGTACATGCTGGACCGGCGCCTGCTGGACCCGCGCCGGCCGGTCGTGGACAAGCCCACGCCGGGCATGCTGGCCGAGGGCCTGGCGCCCTACGCCAGCGAGCTGCCGCTGGCGGGCGGCGCCTTTGCCACGCGCGGAGCGCGCGTCGCGCGCCTGGCCGACCTCCTCGCCGACCCCGCCACGCTGGAGTCCTCCAGCCTGCTCCTGGCGCGGGGGCTGGACCTGTACGGCGCGCGCCTGGCGCCCTCCGCCACCTTCGACCAGGTGCCCGACGACTTCCCCTACGCCCTCCTGGTCCTCATCGTCCTGGGCATGGGCAGCGGCGCCGCCGCGCTGCGCAGGCTGTCCGCGCGTCGCGCCGTCAACCGCCTGTGGGAGTGACTTGGGGGGCGGGCGGGCGGGGGCGGATACCGCGTCTGTGACATGGCCCTCGCCGTGTGTAATCAGTGGATGAGAGGTGTCGTCCGGGAGGACTGTGACAAGGCGGTGTGGGGTGAGTTAGGGTAGAGGGCGATGGAGACGCGAGCAGGCAGACCAAGGAGCAACTGTTCCTTTCATAACGAACCGTACAACCTCGTCTTCAGAGCTGGGATTGTACAAGGTCTGTCTTTGTCAGGAACGTTACATCGCGTGTGGGAGAAGGGCCAAACAGTACAGGCGGTAGGTCAAGAGCAGGGTCAGAGCACGCAGTTCTCCGCCAGCGCGGCGCGCAGCCTCCGGACCTCCGGCTTCTCCAAGGCGGCCGCCGCCGAGGTGCGGGGCCGGCGCATGCCCTCGTTCTCTTGTCCCTCGCTCACGGTTTCCTGCGCCCCGCCGCCATCGCTGCCCCCTGCACTGCTGCCGGCATCCGAGTCTTCCTCTCCTTCAGAGCCGTCGCTTTCGCTGGAGGCCGCGCGGTACCTGACGCCACTCGTGGTCGAGCGGCGCGGCAGCCGCCGACGCGGGGCGGGACCGACGGCAGCATTCCCCACCTCGTCGTCATCGTCTTCGTCGCTCGTGGCATCGTCAGCATCCGGCTCACCGGCCCCACCACCAGCAAAAGCAGATCGGGAGGCGCGGCGCGGCGCGGCCTTCCCCGCCCCCTGCCGCCCAAACGGCAGCGGGCAGCCTGTCGTGAGTTCTGCGTGCGTGGCATGCGAGCCCTCTGCGGCACACTGCAGAGCGTCGCTGTCCACCTGCTCTGCCGCCGCCTCGTGGCGCTCCCGCAGGCGGGCCGCTGCGGCGCGCGCCTCCCGCGCCAGCACGCTGCCAGCCTGGCGTGTGAAGGCCGCATCGCCCACGAGCTCCTCGAGCGCCTCGTGCGCCGCTGCCAGCGTGGCGGCGGCGTCGCCCTGCAGCCCGGCGCGAAGGGGCAGCGTGCTCAGCAGGCGGGCGAGGGCCGAGGCGTAGGCGCGCGCCGCGGCCGTGGCCGCCCCGCTCTCCCGCCACGCCGCCAGCTCACGCACGAGCACCAGGGCCAGGCTCTCGTGGCTGGAGGCGGCGCGCTGGCGCGGCTGGCCGGGGTCAGACGCGTCTGCGGACCACACCGGGGTGTGCAGCAGCTGCGCCACAAAGCGCATGACCACGGGGGCCGTGGCCGCCGAGGCCGGAGCTGTGCGGCTGCAGGCTGCATCCGCTGCCGCCGCCCTGTGTTTGTGCTTGAGTGGACGTGTCTGACAGGTGCCGTCGTTTGGCGCGGGTGCCTGGGTCGAGGAGAGGCCCGGCACATGGAAGGTGGTGGCGCTGAGATGCAGCAGACTGGCCAGAGAATGGCCCCCAGATCATCTTATGCTTTTAAAACTGTTGCACAAGGAGCTGGAACACAGCGGGATGAAGTGCCTGATGCTCCAGAGCACCCACCCAACCCCCAAAACCCAACCATCCCACCTGCGGGCGGCGGGGAGGAGCGCCGATGCCAGCAGGGACTGGGCCTGCAGGGAGAGGGAGGCCAGGGTCTCCAGGGCCACGGTCAGGGTCTGGCGGAACTGGGGTGCTGCCTCCGTGGTCGGATCAAAGGCCAGGCCCAGGAGGCTGATCAAGGCCTGTGGGAGGAGGGTGGAATATGTAGAAGTGGGAAAGGGCATTTTGGAAACGGCGAGCCCGGGAGAGGAACTACCCAGGTGCACAGGACGTGGTGCTGGTGTCCAATGCAGTATACAGCCGAGGATGTCGAGGGTCACGCCGGCGCCAGACATAAAACCCCATGCCGTGCCTTCCACCCAGCGCCAATGCCAGCCCCAGCCTTCGACATGCACCAAACGCACCTCCAGCGCCTCGCTCTCCGGCACGGCGCGACCCGGCGAGAGCTGGCCGAGCACCATCAGGCGGCCCAGGGCGGCGGCCAGGGCGGCACCCGCCTCGTCCCTCGCGCGGGACCTCTCCGGGCCCTCCTCCCCGCCGGCCAGGAGGTCGTGGCGCCAGGCCCCCAGCGCGCACAGCATGGTGGGGACGCAGGGACGGCTGTCTTCCCCCGCCAGCCACTCATCAACCCTCGCGACGCCGTGGCGGGCCGCGATATCCCCGAGCGCCTTCAGATGTCGTGGGGGGAGGGGGTGGGAGGCATGGGATCGTGGCGACGCAGAGCACGTGAGGCTGGGAGAACAGCGTAAAGTCGGGGCCCAATGCTGCCATGCCTGACCCCTGCGTGAGCCTCAGCCCCTCCCAAACCACCCCCAGCACCGCATACGCTTGCCTGGGCAGCAGTGCCGGCGGCGGTCCAGGCATCTGCCTCTCCGTCCTCGACGCCCTGCGCCAGGAGGCGCGCCAGGCGCGGCACCACCGCCGCCACGACACCGCGCGGGGCGGCCGGCGAGGCGGCCAGGAGGCCGGCGCCCCCCGCCGCGAGGCCCGCGGGGCCCCAGCCGGCGTGGCCTGTTTCCGGCGCCTGCCGGGGCATGCGGCGGCTCAGGACCGTTCCCCAGACCCTGTCCAGCAGGCTGGAGACTCCTCGCGGCGGCAGGGCCTGCAGGGCCAGCGCCAGGGCGGACAGGAGGCGGGGCGAGGCAAAGGCCGACGACGTCTCGCCCGCCTCGCAGCGCTCGCACAGGCGCTCCACTGCGACCTGCGCCAGCTGGCCCGACGCGGGCGAGGCGACGCGCAGCAGGCGGGCCAGGGCCCGCGCCGCGACCTCCCTGATGGGCGCAGCCAGGCCGCGGGGCTCGGCTGCGAGCTCGTCCCCTTCTCCGACCAGCTCGCGGAGGACCAAGTCGGAGGCGGTGCGCCGCGCGGCGGCGTCCCCCGTATCCAGGCAGGTCGCAAACATGAGGAGCAGGTGGTCAGCCGCCTCTGGCTGCTCGCCCTTCACCGCCGAGTGCGTCGCGGCAGCCTCCTCCCAGGATGAAGGGAGGAAGGCGTCCAGGGCCTCCAGCGCGGCGCTCGCCGCCGCCGCCTCGATGTCGGCCGTCGCGCCCGCGGCGGAGGCGGCGGACCGGCCGGCGGCGTGCGCGCGCTCCTGCGCCGCCTGCGCAACCACGCACCATGCCAGGGCCAGGTCGGCGCCGACGTCGGCGACATGCAGCTGGTCGCCCTCCTCGGCCTGCCCAGCCGCCGCATCCTTCGCCCCGCTTTCCGAGGTAACACACCGCGGCGTGACCCCTGCCTCCGCCCAGGCCGCCATGAGCCTGACGGGGTTCAGGGTCCCGGCATCCAGCAGCGCGCGCAGCGCCAGCTCGCCGGCGTCGCGCCCGTGGGCATCCAGCAAGGAAAGCAGGGACAAGGGGTCGCCGTCACAGCCGGCCAGCCAGGCCTGGACCAGGCGCAGCGCGGCAGCCGCCACGGCCGGGCAGCGGTCACGCAGGCCGCGCCTGATCAGGAGCGCCCGCTGAGCTGGCGCCAGGTCACGCGGCCCCGCTCCGTGCGCTGCGGTCAGGTACGCCACGCGCCTCACATCGTCGTCGGGGTCCAGCGAGCGCTCGAGCACCGCCCGGGCAGCCAGAACGCAGGGTGGCAGGGAGGCCAGCGCGCCGCGCCGCACCTCCCGACTCGCATCGTGGCTCGCCAGGCGGATCAGCGTGGCGGTGATGGGGCAGGCGGCAAAATCGCCGTCCTCGCCCGGGTCCGGGAGGCGGGCCAGGGCACGGGCCGCGGCGGCGCGCACCGCCGGTCTGGCATCGGCTGCTCGCTCCAGCAGCGCCGCCTGCAGGCCGTCAGCGACGTCCTCGGACAGCCCCGCATCGGCGGGTAGGCCCGACAGCAGGGCCTGGGCCAGCTGACAGGCGCGCCAGCGCGCGGGCGCGTCCTCGGCGTGCATCAGGGAGGCCAGTGACTGGAGCAGCTGCTCCAGGAAAGTCAGGCGCCCCTCGTCTGAGGCCTGCGCTGCAAAGGTCGCCAGGAAGCGCAGCACCCGGTCCACATACATCGTGCGCTGTACAGTATTGGTTGTGGGCAATGCGTTGGAAAAGAGCGTGTGGCCCGGAAGCGGGGCGGTGGGCGAGAAGAAGGGGCGGCATCGTGCGAGTCCTCCCGAGCATCATGCCGCACGGACACCCCCACGACAGGTGTGCGTCGGAGAAGGCCACCCTGCAGACAAAGGGCCCACGCCTAACACACCCACCCACCTCTCCACATGTCATGATGAGCTTAAACGCGTGCACCAGGTCCGCGCCCGCACGCGCGGGCTCCTCGTCGCATACTTCCCACAGCGCCTTCGCAAGGCGGAGGTGGGCCCCGGACGAGCCCCGCTGCGCCTCGTTCAAAAAGACGGGCACGCTCATAACGTTGAGACTGCCCCGTTCCCGCGCCATGGTGAAAGACTGGCGTCTGGTGTGCGAAGAGGGTGTTCCAGCTCTTCGAGCTGTTCCGGGAATGGTTGAATCGGGGTCGGGTGGATGCCAGGCTTTCCACCAGTGTGTGTCACTCCCCCGGAACAGAACACAGAGCAGAGCGGGACAAATCACGAATCATACGCGTCCACAGGCTTGGAAGCATGTCAAACTCCATCCGATGGCTCTGATCAAGCTCTGAAGGTGCCCTCATGGCATAGACTTGTCTTACCACCGAGCTCAAACGCAGTGTCACCCCGCAGTCTCGCGACCCGAGCGATCGGGGCCCGATCCCCATGGCCCTGGTCACCCAGCGCCCTTCGATTGCCTCACAGGATCCTCTTGATGGGACTGTCGCCGCAATGGAGGTTGGGAGGCCCGGGTCCAGTGCCTCCAAGAACGGCAACAGGGGCACCAGTGAGGAGGAGGCAGCCTATTTCTCCCAGCTGCTGGGATACAGCATGGAGCGCCTGGCCCGGGAGCCGGAGCTCCTGGCCTCCGAGCAGCAGTACCTGGCCCGCCAGGCCGCGGAGGTGACGTCCACGTACCGCGGCGCCCTGCTGGCCAGCGCTAGCGGCGCTCGCGACCTCGCCGGCATCCTGGGCGACGCAAGTACCCGCCTGCGCGCCGTCTCCGACGCCCTGCCGCGCCTGCAGGCCAGCGGCGAGGCCTTCGAGGGCGTGGCCACGTCGTCTGAGGCCGCCCGCCGCGTCAACCGCCAGCTCGCAGGTACAAAAGGGGGTAGGATTCAGGGGTTTCATGTTTGTGTCAGATGCAGGCACCTTACCCAACTGGTTGAGGGAATCAAATCCCCCTCAGACCTGGGTGTCGTTTTCATATCCCCTCTGCTCCTCTCCTGACA